TAGGTTTAGATAGATAGATAGATAGATAGATAGATAGATAGATGGATGGATGGATGGATGGACGGACGGACTGACGGATGCACCAAGAGCACAGTAAAAACACACACAAATAGATAAAATACAATGAAATACAAACATGAATAGTGGCGCTTTGGCCCAGAGGCAATGTCTCTGTCTTTGGTGTGGAACCCCAGGGTTCACCTCCTGGGCAAGTTCAAATCCCGGTTAGGGAGGTTGGTACCTTCCAGTGGACTCACCACCTGCAGGAAGGTTTGGGGGGTTGGTACGGTGCAGTGTGATTTGGGTGGCGACTGCTGCCCCCGCGACCCGGTAACGGATAAGCGGATGAAAATGGATGGATGGATGGATGGACAAACATGAGTAGCAGCACACTAACAATGAATATTGGAAACCTGAACAGTGGATGTTAGTAGATTTGTTGGTTAGTAGTAGATAGATAGATAGATAGACTACTGAGGCATCTGAATAAAGTTAGACTGTTTATATTAGCATGTGTTCATATATATGTTTGCTATAAAAACAAGCTGACTTACAGGTCTGACCGGTCCTGCCCCATCCAGTGGTGACACACTTGGTTCCAGATGGGACGTTGGTGCTGGAGGAGGCCAGGCACACAGGGGACACACGAGAATTAATCTGCACTGGGGAGGAGAGCTTCAGGAGGGTGATGTCATTGTTGAAGTTGTTGGAGTTGTAGTAAGGGTGACTGATGGCCTGTGTAGAGAAATGACAACAAAGAGTTATCCCGTAGTATGTGACCTCATCTCGGTGTAGTAAAGATACTGATTCTCTAACTTACCCTGGAAATCGTCTTGACCTGGATGGGCTCAACACCTGACTGACGGTCATGTTCTCCCAGGATGACACGATGGTTTCTAGGACTGCAAATAACAGTCGCAGAGTGACTTACAGATCGTATCTCTCTCTTTCTGTGTGGTACGCTGACGTTTGACCACTTACGACACACGGCAGTGAGCAGCAGTAACAACCCAGTACTGGTTGATCAAAGATCCTCCACAGAAGTGGAATCCGCTTCCATCCTTAGAATTTAGAGATACATATGTTTGGTTGTTTTAGGTTCTTTCTCAGTTTTATTACATTGAGTGAAACTACACCAGCAGTGGGCGTTGTCGATTAGGAGTAACTTATTTTACCTGAAGGGAAACCTGCCAGGGCCAGGAGCCAGACACAGCAGTCTCTCCATTTACAATCTTGTTGTATCCACTCACTTGGGGCTTAATGGAAGGATTTCCGCACCCTGACGCCCAGTGAAAAATGTACAGTGACTACAGTGAGTAATTAACGTGTTTATTAATTAGTGAAAATTAGCAGAGAAATACTTTAGCGCGTATGCAGAATTACGCTTACTATATCTCCAATAATTCCACGGTCCAGTCACTTATCGTTGTTCTAATACACGAGACGATACACACGTTGTTGTTTTGTTTGTTTGGTTTTCTGCATACACTGCGCTAACAACTTTCGCGTTACGAAGGACAATGTGCATTTACGAGGACTTCAACTTCCGGTCACTTCCGGCATGCGTCGGAACAAGGGCGTGACAGTGACGCTAACAATTGCCAATGGATTGCGAGATGTGAAACTGTAGATGAGTCATATATTTGGGGAAAACAAAAGTTCTGAAAGCAACTGTCGACGTGTTCTATAAGATAGTAGTAATTACTTAAATCTTGGTCGATTAGTGCATCTGCTGTGCATTCTGCCAAGCGAAATATTAAGATATACTTTTTCTACATTTTTATATACTTTTCAAGATACACAATTCCATATTTTGCACTAGTAACAAATAAAAACAGGTTTATAATTAGGAATATTTATTTAACTAGATTAATCATAATTAATCATGCCTAATCCACTGCTAGCATGCGATTAATCATTGGACAGCCCTAAAATACGTATGGATATATTATTGTCCCATGGATGTGGATAAATGCACCTCTTACTCACCCAGTGCAGAGGCCACAAGGGCAAAACAACTGATGAGCAAGAACATGGTGGTCTGGATAGCGATTCACGTCCCAGTGCCTCGCCTGTGTTCTGCACTAACTTTTATACCTACACATATCAGTGAAGGCCCCCCCAGGTGTGATAGGCCAAGGGAATAGAACATCTGTTGATAAGCACCTGAGGTGAGATCTAATACAAAACTGCAGCTAATCTTACACTTCTGTTTGTCCCTGTTTGGAAAATTTGGGGACATCTGTCAAACATACAGTTGTGTAATTCTTCCACTGGTTAAAGGAAAAAGTCTAACGGGTATTTAGAAGAAAATAAACCCAGCAGAATCGTTTTAATGTCCTTGAGGATAATTTAGGCCTAAATTATACTTTTAATTGTCTCATATTCATGAACACAATGTTGGTTAATTTACCCTGCCGTGTAGATGACACACAAGAAGCAATGCACATCAAAATCTTTGCAACAGTGAGCAGCATTCTTATCAGACTGAGGCGTCTTCCTGTTTTTGCACTACTGTGGTGTGAAATGACTTACAGATGTCATGATATTTAGATAATGAATACACTATGTGAAAGTTTCAGAGTGGAATCCCAATGTAAACTTTATTGATTTTGTGCTTACAATAACAGATGGGGAAACGACTTTTTGAGAGACACACTGTAAAAATACATTTAGTTTTTGTGAAAATAAAGATTAATGAGTTGTTTTTGAATACCTGAAGATATGTGTAAGTATGAGATTATTGTCATAATAACAGGAACTTAGGTGTTCAGTGGAGCCAGGTAGTATTTGAACATGTGTACTGTTGAATAAAACGGTTTCAGAAAAGTAAATGTTGAATTGGGATTCTGAAGTTAAATCTCTCAAAGGTGTTTAGTCGACCTCTTCAATAGTTGGGCCGGAGGAGGCGCCACCTGCAGCCCCACCAGGGAAACCACCGGGTGCCCCTCCAGGCATTCCACCTGGCATTCCTCCCTGGTAAAGCTTTGAGATGATGGGATTGCAGACTTTTTCTAGCTCCTTCTGCTGGTGTTCATACTCATCCTTTTCAGCCGTCTAGGTAACAAAAAGTATACACAATTACATTCTTTTTTTTTATAAAAAGCACACTTTCTTTCTCCTTGGTGACTGTTGGGGTTTACCTGGTTCCTGTCCAGCCAGGCAATGACTTCGTTGCACTTGTCCACAATGGTCTTTTTGTCCTCAGGGCTGATCTTGTCCTGGAGCTTCTCATCTTCCACAGTGCTCTTCATGTTGAAGGCAAGAGACTCGAGAGAGTTCTTGGCAGTGACCTTCTCTTTCTGGATTTCGTCCTCGGCCTTGAACTGCTCGGCCTCCTGCACCATGCGCTCAATGTCTTCCTTGCTCAGACGTCCTGTAGGATGCAAAATAAAAATCTTTGTATCTGCTTTTATATTTGACTTTTTGTTTATTTTATTTTTATTTATGCTAATCCTCTCTACCTTTGTCATTAGTGATGGTGATTTTGTTCTCCTTCCCGGTGCTTTTGTCCACCGCCGACACATTCAGAATGCCATTGGCATCAATGTCAAAGGTCACCTCAATCTGAGGGACTCCTCTGGGAGCAGGAGGAATTCCCGTCAGCTCAAACTTGCCCAGAATATTATTATCCTTTGTCATGGCTCTCTCACCCTCATAAACCTAAAACAAAAGTCTTGAATGAGATTCTGATGCACCACTGAATACTTCCTGAATTAACTGTAGCATAAGTTTTTTTTTTTTTTTTACTCATTCAGGTAACAGTACCTGAATGAGTACACCAGGTTGGTTGTCAGAATAGGTGGTAAAGGTCTGGGTTTGTTTTGTGGGGATGGTGGTGTTTCTTTTGATAAGGACAGTCATCACCCCTCCAGCAGTCTCAATTCCCAGAGACAGAGGTGTCACATCCAGCAGGAGCAGGTCCTGAACATTCTCAGACTTATCACCAGCCAAGATGGCTGCCTGCACAGCTGTGAGGATCAAATGGTAAGAATAATAACTTTAAAATGTCTATTAAACAACACTGTTAAGTTAAACAGTGTTTTATAAAAATAACTTAAATGGGATTCTGGTTTTTACCTGCACCGTAGGCCACAGCCTCATCTGGGTTGATGCTCTTATTGAGATCACGGCCATTGAAGAAGTCCTGCAGCAGCTTTTGAATCTTCGGGATACGTGTGGAGCCACCGACGAGGACGATGTCGTGTATCTGGCTTTTGTCCATCTTGGCATCCCTCAGGGCCTTCTCCACAGGCTCAAGGGTTCCACGGAAGAGGTCTGCATTTAGCTCTTCAAAACGGGCCCTGGTGATAGAAGTGTAGAAATCTGTTCCTTCGAACAGTGAATCGATCTCGATGCTGGCCTGGGTGCTGCTGGAGAGGGTACGCTTAGCACGCTCACACGCCGTGCGCAGACGACGAACGGCTCGCTTGTTGTTGTTGATCTCCTTTTTGAACTTGCGCTTGAACTCGGCAATAAAGTGGTTAACCATGCGGTTGTCAAAGTCCTCACCACCCAAGTGGGTGTCTCCGGCTGTTGACTTGACCTCAAAGATGCCATCTTCAATAGTCAGGATTGACACATCAAAAGTACCACCTCCAAGGTCAAAGATGAGGACATTACGTTCACTGCCAACCTGTAACAGTGGGTATGAATTGGTAACAGGGAAAAAGAAATACTATATTAGGGATTTCACTCATTTTGTTGCTTACTTTTTTGTCCAGGCCGTAAGCAATGGCTGCAGCAGTGGGCTCATTGATGATGCGGAGAATATTAAGTCCACTAATGGTTCCAGCATCTTTAGTTGCCTGGCGCTGGGAGTCATTGAAATAGGCAGGAACAGTGATAACTGCATTGGTGATAGACTGTGAAGAAAGAAAGATTTTACGTAACTAAATGACGTTTGTGTGATTAATCGTATTTTCTCTGTTTTGTTTTTTTTCTGGACATCACCAGATATTTGTGGTTTGATTTTTATCAACCAAAAATTAAAAAAAAAATCCACTATTTTATTCTTTCTTTGTATTTAGCTGACTACCTTTCCGAGATAAGCTTCAGCGATCTCCTTCATCTTTGTGAGGACCATTGAGGAAATCTCCTCTGCAAAGAAGGTCTTGATCTCACCCTTGTACTCGACCTCCACCTTGGGTTTAGATGCTTCATTCACAACCTTAAAGGGCCAGTACTTCATGTCTGCCTGCACCACTGGATCGTCATACTTGCGGCCAATCAGACGCTTTGCATCTGAAGCAAAGAAATGTTAGAGACAAAAAGACGCAATTTATCATCTAATTTGTCAAAACCTGAAGATAATAGAAAATGCTGCTCAGAGAAATTCAATTGTGTCGTGGAGTTGGTCCTCACCAAATACGGTGTTGGATGGGTTCATGGCCACCTGGTTCTTGGCAGCATCTCCGATCAGTCTCTCAGTGTCTGTAAAGGCCACATAGCTGGGTGTGGTCCTGTTCCCCTGGTCATTGGCTATGATCTCTACTTTTCCATGCTGGAAGATGCCCACACAGGAGTATGTGGTGCCCAGGTCAATACCAATTGCTGGTCCTTTAGACATCTTTTAAAAGAAAAAAAATATAGAAAAAAAATTAGTCCTTTATTTCTGCCACAATGGGGACATTCACAGAGTGAGTCTTTGCAACCCACACTGTATTCTTCAAGTATTCTTCAGCAGATGAAAAGGTCAACATTTATTGGTATTTGAACATTTGTAATTGCAGTTAAGTCTGTGTATTTTTGGAAACAGTATTTGTTCATCCTTGTGAAAATTGTTCATTTTAATCATTTAAATCGTTTTAAAAATTGTGCTTCACTCGGTGATATCAGGCCTTGCAATATATACTCAATATAGTACTGAGTATATATTGCGAAGGCGTTTCTTTAATTAGCATACATTTTAATGCAATGCAATCCTATCTCATGCTGCCATTTGATTCTATCTCCTCGTCACTCTTGTCCCTCAGTGTAGTTCCGCAGCGTCAGTCAGACCTGAACATGACATGGTCATCTGTGTCTATTTCCTGACAGCTGGTTCCAAATAGCTTGATGTTGCTATAAAAAGAATAACCATATCTACAGTGCGATGAGGTGTGAGGAGTGTGACCACCAAGGAAGTCATGATTCTTCACTGATTGGGCAAAATGTAACCTTTTTCAAAATTTCTTTTGAAGACAACAAAGAAAAGAAATCCAAATATCTTATTACAACTGTTTAGCATTAAATATATTGTATATATATGGTAGCTTTCAACAAAAATTGCCCAAAGTGAAGTATTTTTGCATTTTGTGCCGTGTCTTACATGAGTAAGTGAGTGAAGCTGCAGAGCAAACACAGTAGTGGTTAAAATGTCACAACAGCCAAACTGTTACGCAAGAAAGATAAAAAATGCTGATAGACTGAGTTTGCTGAAACACCTGCCTGCACCCATAACTGAAAACATCCACTTGAAGTTGTGAAAGTATAAACAAGCCAATCAAGCAATGCTTTGAGGTTAATAACTCTGTCTGTATTGATATCATTCTGTGAGAACAGGATACATTATGCTGGGTGGAAGTTGTAAAATGGAAATTAATCTTTAATAGTTAATAGAGTGTCAGTTGTTTTGTTTTTTCAGGGATTCTGCTTCAGCTTGTCATGCCACTGTTAAACAAAAAGCCATGCAAGCCTCACTTAAATAGGAATAGCCCTCAGACTGTATATTAAGCATTATAGAGCAGCAAGCCAAATAGACTAGGAAGCCAGACTGAATGCAATGCTTCTCTCTGGTTTTTACCTTGTGCTGGACAGATGTTCAAACCTCAAGATAACTGAGTTAAAGAGCGTTTATTCTTTTCACCCTGCTCACAACACGAGCGTCCGAGCTCCTCTCCAGTACTCCCTTCCCCTTCACTGACAGGCAGAATAAGAGGGCGAGTGTCTCTGCTCCACAGTGTATATAAAGCACTACGCTGGGAGTGCTCATCTGGGTGTCAGGTGACTCCACCAAGAAAGTTCTAGTAGGCCCGCATTTCTCCCCACTGCCAAGATTCCTTGAAGGAAAACTTGTTGATCCTGCCACCCATTTGCAAATGCAACAAGGAGTCAAACTAAAGCACAACAACAGGCTTTTGGCTGAATGTGAAGCTCTGCTGTTATTATTTGAAAAAAAAAATGGAAAAAAAAGAGGATTTTTTCAGCGTCCACAGTGGCCACGAGGCTGTTACACACAGCTCTGGATTATTAAACCACAGCACAGTGTTACCAACAAGAACGTTTAAAATGCCTTCAAACAATGGACAATGACTGGCCACAAACCAGACGTGTGGATTTATGTGCACCACTGGATAGCTTGTGGCTTTAGAAATGAATAGGTTTTGTGCTAAATTTAAAGGCCTCCATATTTTCACTGTACAGTGTGTACACACAGAGTGCACAGCATACAACAATACACGAGAGATAAATATACAAGAATTGCTGTTGATTAAGAGAGAAACATCTTCAAATATTATTCACAAATATTCACCACAGCAGTAAATGAGGGCTGGAGAAATATACACTTCAGTCACCAACATGACATCGACGTTTGACCAGAATATTCGACAGCTGTTCTAGTAGGAGGACTCTGAGTCAGAAGACAGTATAGAATCCTATAATAAAATGATTGGTCACCACTGTTTGGTAACGCGTGTGTGATATCTAACCTCAGGGGCTGAGTATGAATACCTCACAGGACATGTCACTCCACAAGTCACATGGTCAGCTCAGCTTTGAGAAACAGTACCCTGTCGCTACCACCGGTGGGCGATAGCCATACAATTCAGCAGCAATGTAAAAAGGAAAGGATTTGTTTTGTTGAATTTGTTTGTCAAAGCACACTAAGTACACAGAGAGTGAAAGTACGAGCTGAAGTCAAACAACATTAGCTGTTAGCATTCAGGTTTTTTTTAGCTTGTTAAATGTGTTTTTCAAAGTATTTACACAGGGTCCAGTTGTTGCTCTTTAAGAAGTTAAATAATGTTAGCTGTTAAAAGACTCATTGTTTTTATGTTCTCCACATTCATTCTCCATATAAGAAAGAACAACTACCCAGGACCTTGTGTTTCTGTTTTCATATCAATCTCCCCACAGACTGGATGTACAGTATGTTCTTGTTACATTGATCCTTCTGACACAAATGGCATTTGGAACTAAATACACTGCCTTGAAGGCACCACCTGTTGTGGAGCCCCACATATGGGCACTACCACATGTCTGTCAATCTGCTTCTGTCCAGCAGATGATTTTTTTTTTTTTTCAAGTTTAACATTTTGAAGTGTGTATTATACGTGCAGCAGTGTACACAGGATGAAGTTACTGTTAATGGTCCTTCAATAAATACTGTACAGTTGCATTAAGGAGAAAGCAATTGAATTAGGAGCAGCCTTGAAAACATTAGTGTTTCCATCAAACACAACACTTCAATCAGCTGTTCAAATGTCACTTTAACAGAAACAAACAGCGCAGCTGATACAGAAAGTCTTCTTCTTTGCTTTTGTTTTCCCTGCATTGTCCGTTAACATCGTCCCAAGAGCAGCTTCTGCAGTAGTTGTAGAAAAGTTGCTCTGCTTTCTTCAGCGTGCCACTCAGATCCAGCCTGCCATTTAGACTGCACGATAAAACAAAAAAGACATGATGGCACAGATGGACACCTTCAGTGCTTTTTTATTATCATGTCATGCAAAACAAACCTGCTTGTAAACCGGATGAGCTGAGCATCGTCCTGACACTGAAGCAGAACCTCCCTGTTCTCCAGCAGAATAGCTGCACAGATGAACAGCTCAAAGGTGAAGTCAGTGTTGATGGCCTGCAGCTCTGACTCTGGACTGTCCTCTGCAAATACAACTTAGTCATACATTTGCTCTGAGTCGCTGTTATGGCATTTTTTTATATTTTTTATTATTATATTTGTCACCTGCGCTGATGTTTTGGGCCAGTCTTTCCTGATACCTGGCTCGTTCCACTTGCTGGGAAATGAGCTCCAGGTGGTCACAACTGAGGATCTCAAACAGACGTAGGGCATCACTGTGTTCAAACTCTCTCTGGAAACCCAGCAGTAACCACCTGTAGATGGGTCAGAGAATATGAACGAAAACAAATGTGTAAATGTGAATACTTCTAACTGCAGTACAGAGACGGTTCCTACCTGTGGCAGAACGTGAAGTTCTCCATGCTGTCGGTGGCTAAGTGAGCATAAAGCTCTGGGTCCAGTACTTTCAGCAGAGCTGCCTCTAATTCTGTAAAACATTAAACACGTTTTTTGCTTAAAACAACATTTTTTTTATCATTTTAATTTAACGTCTAGAACAGATGTGGGCAAACTTTTTTGACTGAGGAGCAGATAGATGGAGCGTTCGTGTGAACTAAGATAAATGACATGTAAAAGTCTGACATAAAGGCTAAAATGCTAATATGCTATTAGACTTTTCTATGTCATTTATTGGGGAAAAGCTGGCATAATAGGGAGAAGGCAGAAGTATAATAACAATATAAATTAATATTATATAATTCTGACAATTTGGCAGGCCAGATTACAAAGCCCAACAGGCCTCATCCGGCCCCCGAGCCATAGTTTGTCCATGCCTGGTCTAGAATGTGCAAAAATGCAGTGATTATTCCGGCGAGGTTTTCAAAATCTGTATTAGAGTTTGCACAATAGTAGTATTACAATAGTAAACGTGCTGTATAAACTGATGAAATTAATTCTCTTTAAAATCCTCACCTATTTTCCTATGCAGACCATCAGCTCTGAAGTCTTTGGAAAACTTTTCCATGTAGCGGGAAAAACTCCAGAATGTGTCCACCTCACAATCTAGAACCTCGAGGAACCGGCTGCACAGGTCATTCATCCCTTGGGCATAACTGACCTCTGAATCAGCAGTTAAGACAAGTGTTGAACAACAATCAATCAAAAACAGTTTGAACCTAAAATTGTGTTACTTTGTTTTAGAAGCAAAATGAGCAGGAAAGACATAAAAACAAAAACATATTCATTAAATGATGCCTGCGACCCACTGCAGAATGTCTGATAAATGGGTAAAGTTAGTGCATTAACTAAAGAACTAGCAACATTAAGTCTTCGATTAAAAATCAACTACAACTGTCAAAAAAACAAAAACAATCTCAGCGCAACACGGAAAAAATGTAGTTCTGCCTTTCTCCACAATTCCCATTATGTTGTGGGAAAAAAGGCGTACAAAGAAGTCTAAGAGAAGGGTTTTAAATGCCAAAGACCTTGAGTAATCTACTAATGAATACGCACGACCCCTACAGGCCAAAGATTGTACTGCATTTCAGACCATCGTGCTACTATGATGCAGCACTGTAGTTCACATGGTCCTGTATCACATGTGACACTGCACCAAAATAAATAAAATTAAATTTAAAATAAATAAATCACACATTAGGTTTGTACAGAAATGATATCAAGTACGTAGAGTTAAGGTACAAAAAAGAACCCTGGACCTTTTGAACTAAAAGAAAAAAAACAACAACAGTCCACACTTTTATTTGTCTTGTGCAGATGTACATGTACTGTACACATGCATTTAGAAAAATGTGAATTTAAATTTTAAAAAATTCAATTTAAATTTAAAAAAGTGAATTTAGAAAAATCCAATTGAACTTTAACCTCTAACATTAACAGGAACATCTAAGGTGAAGGAACTGGAAGTTACAACACTAGAAACAGAGAACCACAAATTTGTGCAATTCAGATGTTATTGGTTGCAGCAAAAAACAACATGTGTGTTTTAAGGTTGTTGGTTTGGGATTTCTAATTTGTGGTTATGTTTGGCAGGTAGAATTAGGTTTGTGGAAACAGTGGTTCATGGTTTGTCTGACTTCTATTTAATTTGAGATTTACGTTTGAACCGACATCTTAACAATGGTCTTATATACAGTAGGAGATGAACTCATGTACAGTAATTCATTTACCTGGATGAAAGGCAGCATACGTGATAAGGATGTCTCTCAACACTAACAGATTTCCTGAAATCTCACCTCTGCAGAAATATATGAAAATATAGAAAGCAACATTATTCATCAGTGAAGACGTTAACTTGGGCACATTTGTAAGAGCCATGGCTGCTGGCATGAGATCTAATGTCTGTTAATAAGTGTCTGTCTCACACAGTGGTCACCTACTGGTAATAGAACAGATCTCTGTTTGTTCTTGGTACATCCTTGTCAATGATTCGTACAGCTTCCTGCAGCTCCTCCTCGTCCAATGTCACCCGCTCAAATAAAATCTGGTCACCAGAAAGATAGAAAAGAAAAATATGAAGCCACATCATCCTATTTCAACTATATTCACTTGTCATTCTAAAATTATCATCCAAGTATCTCTAGCTCATCTATAAATTTGATCACCCTTTATTTTCTTTCTTTTTTTTTTTACAAAAAAATAGCTGCAATCATATTTAACGTGCAGCTAAAATGTCACTTGGATAGAGAAGCCTCTATAGCCAATTTCAAAAAAGGTTGTTCATGTGTAAATACAGTTGAGACTAAAGAAGGATCTCGTTGCCTAAACACACATCCCTCCTTTATCAAACATTCAAAGTTTCTCCTGAACAAAGACAACTGACTTCCATTCACAGGGCCCTCTATCAGGCGGACACCCTCCTACTGGAGATTTCAAACCAGCCAATCGTAGTGTCAGAACAGCTGCGGAGAGTTAGACTGAACATTTGAAATGGGGAAGGAAAAAGACTGAAGTAACTGTAAACTCAATGTTTTCACATGCACTGTCTCATGTTTAAAAAAGAAAGTTCAATATAAGACAGAACTCTAGGTGAACATGTCTCAAAGATGTCTAAGGTCAGGTGAGGATCTTAAGTCAGACAGGTTGTAAAGAAGCAAACATGACCTTAATGCAGGGGTCACCGACGTGGTGCCCGGGGGCACCTGGTAGCCCCGCTGTTGTTGGTCCCAGAGGTGATTATTATTACATCGTTGGGGAAGTCTGTATCAAACAGGCAGCTCTTCGTATTAACAAGTGTCCTTGAAGTAGCTCTCAGTTTCAAAAAGGTCGGCGACCCCTGCCTTAATGTAAATGAGCTACTGCTTCATTAGCCAGAATGTGATGAATCATGTTAAGGTGAAACCCATGCTCTACTTAATACTTAATACCATGGTACACCATATGAGAGTAAATGTAAACTGTATGGATTTGAATATACTGCATTATTTTTGACATACTATATTACTTATATACTGTATAGCTTTAATTCTACTGTATACATTATAATATACAGTAAATGTACAACATGAGTATTTTACTTATTCTGTCTAGATTCATATACATATTGTAGGCTTCTTTAAATACTGCCGTTTTATTAATGCAGTATAGCTTTGTGTATATAGTATACAGTAGGTTATATGAACCACACTGTCTTACATACACACATGCTATATGATTTTATATACACTGCACATATTTACACATGCTGAACTGCATATTTGCATCAACGTCCATTGAAGCGATCTGACCTGTGCCTGAAGCTCCAAGAAAGCCAGCCTTTCTCTGACCTCCTCAGACAGGTCCAGGGTCTGCTGCTGGGCCTGTGCTTGTCTCTGGTCAAAATACTGAACAGCTGCAACCAACTCAGCTGGAAAATAAAGGAAAGACCAAAAGAAAAAAAAAGAGAAACATTTAACAAATATATTGGGTTTTTTTTTTTAGTGAACATTGGCCTGCGTTTGTGTCTTTTACCGTCTGAGTTGTTAAGATGCATCCTCACAGCCGAGGGGATCAACTGCTGCCACTTCCTTTTCATGACCTGGTATCGTACCATCAACTGCTCCTGCAGCAGAGAGCGTTCCAAAGCCGTGGAGCTGCACGAGTACATCCCGAATAGAAAACGCCAAGCCAGGCCTCGCTCAGAGGGAGAGACGCCGCCTGGGAGGAATTTGAAATTGGTTTCAACGTCAATACTAATCAGAGAACGCAACAAAAAATCTGCTTCACAATCACAAAGAAATACCTTAAAGAAATACTCTGAGCTGCCTTCAAAGGAAGCTTTAATTGGTTTCACTTTTCTGATTCCTTAATCCTAACATGCCACGATGTGGTGTGTGGTTGGAATGTGGATAAAGGTCAGGGGGGCCAAACAGGAGGGGGAGTACATTTCTGTTTATGAATGAGCCAACGATCAAGGCAGTGTGAGTCTCTAGTTTTTGACTGAATCATCAATGTGCTTCTTGGCCACACCATCATCATCTGATGTCTTAGTGCTGTGGTCATGCTGGTGTCTTAGCTGCAGGGAGTCCCAGGCACAAGGAAATGTCTTTTATCAAAAGAGAATGCTTTGCTTGTGACTTGAGCCAATGTCCCTACAGCCAACGATCACTTGACTGTGTTTTTTAAGCATCATCACGAAACAGACCTCCGTACTGTGAAACATAAGACCTTTCAACGATATCTAAAAAAAAAACACAACATACCCTGGAATGTGAAACACTATTAGTCCTGGATGAACATTTTACAGCAGCAGATAATATGGTCTCCCTGAAACAACCGTTAAAGGTCTACCTGTAATGGACGTTCTACAGGACAACGTCCATTACAGGTAGACCTTGTTTAAAACAGTGTTTCCCAAACTTTTTTTTTTCTTCTGGGGACCCATATTTTAAAAGTCAAACCTTTGCGCATGATGTGAGACACCCCAAAAAAAAAAAAACTCTTGCGACCCACCTGAGGTCCGCAACCCAGTCTTTGGGAAACAATGGTTTAAAATATGCCACCCTGTTGATTCTTAGTGTAAAAATAGACACAAAAAAGTTATATGAACTATATGAATAATTTTATATTACATATCATTACAAAAATTATATTAAAAAAAAGATAGATACCGTTTTTGAATATGTACAGCCTCAGTCTCGACTCGTCCACCCTGCCCTCAGAGTCCATGACCCCCGGTAAGGTGAGTCTCGCGGTGGCCGCTGCAGGACAGCTGACCGCTGCCACCATGCTCTGGGATCGAACATCCTCTTCTGAACTCCTGTTCTCCTCCACAGCAGGTCTACGGTCGCCGACCTTGTCCATCCGTGTCCGACAAGTTCACACCGAGCACAGGCTGCGTGGACTTTGAAGCACGGAAACTCAACATGAACCAAATGTCATCGTTCTGTAGCTCTTCCTCTCATGCCGTTGGTTTTCCCCCTAATTCCCCTGACATAATCAGGAGCTCTCGCTTCGTAGCCGGGTCTTCGGAAAACTTAGTTAAACTCCAGATCCTGCACTGAGTCTCAGTAATAGTTGCTGATTGGTTTTCCATTTGTCTGGGGGTCACATGACTGCACCTAGACCTCTGTGCTGGCCCACATTCCAGGTGGAGTCTAAGCTCCAGTACCACAGTTAACGTTCACACCGTGTTATGCGTGAATGCGTCACGCTTCTCATTACGTTACGTCAAGTTTGCACCTGTGATACTCAAATTACATGTTTTATTTTTTAAGTTCTCGATGTACAGTGTTCTTTTAGGCAGTTGTTCCCGAAGTGGGCGGCAGGGATATAACACAATTAGTTATTTTTATATATATATATATATATATTCAATTATATATATATAAAATATGATTATATTTTACTTTTATTTTTATTTATTTCCCTACCACATTGGGGAAACTGCCTTGATTTGTCCGTTTTTCATTGTTTAATGAAATCTGTAGGAGTCACATGAAGTGTTATAATTACAGACATTTGAGGCAGTGACTGTATATCAAAAAGGGGGCGCTGCAGGATATTTTGGGAACCACAGCCTTAAAGGAAATTATTATTTTAATTATTAACCGACCAGAGATTACCACCGAACACACAGGAGTCTAAAAAAATAAAATAAAATAAACTCTCTTACTTTCCTTGTGTTCTTAGAGAAAAAAAACAACCTTTATTAAATCTAACCCTTCATTAAAACCTACACTACAACATTTGTAATTTGTTCAATATTAAATTGCAGTGGGGTTTTTTTTTTATAAATCACCTTCAATATTTTCTATCACGTGAGAATTTGGAAACTTAAAAAATTGCACAAAACCTGTGCATTTGGTTTTGTTTACGCTATTTCTTTTATTTATTTATTTATTATTTTAGGATAGAATCCAAAGTTATGTGTGTGTCCACTAATATTTTGTATCGTGTCAGAATTATTTTAAGTCAATGAGCAATGTCACTGTTTACTTTCCTTTCTGTCACAAGTTCCTCTTTTTTTTGCAATTCATCAGCTCCTCGGTGCCAAGAAACACGACAACTTCTTGTACAGACTTAAAGACTTTGTGGCCAACACCCTGACTGCACTCTGGTGTCACGCTCACAGTGAGTACCAATAATTATGTACTCTCAGAACCTGAGAGTGGATGATTTATTGAACATGTTCAGCATGTATGTTCTAAAACTGATATAGTTTTTGGAGAGATTAGCAGCGTATGCTAATTCAACATTAAATGTTTTTTTCTGGATCAGATGAAGCTCCTGGGATTAGTTGATCTGACGCTCTTGTTTATCTTGGCCTCTTATTCAAATGGTTAGTAATACATTCTTCATTTATTTTAGTCTCATCACCTTTGTCAATTCTTATTTATTTATTATTGTTGTTGTTATTATTATTATTATCATTAATAGAGGCCCTCACATATGTAATGCTTCTGATGAAAACATCTTTTACTTTAAGCTTCAGTAACGTCAACATGCTTCCATTCAAATGTTGTCAAATATGCGATTTCCAAAAATGTATTTTTAATAGTTTGAGTTAAAACGACTAAGTTAATTAAATCAGACATCACACTTTTGAAATAATGACCTTCATCTTAGATATTTTGTTTTTGACTTTCACCCCTCTGTAGGTTTTGATGACAATGTTTTTGTTGTTGTTGTTTGTTAATGAACACAGGAGAAGAATGGAAGATTCAAGTCAACTCACACATTGTGGTCATACCAGGAGCAAACGTGACCATACCCTGCACATTTACTTATCCTAGTAAGATCCAAGGAAATGACATTCAGGTTTACTGGAAGAAGCTGCGCCAAAGTCCTATAAAGACCCCTGACCGTGATTTAAATGCATTTGTTTTTCACCCGATGAAAGAGTATGTCATCAAGCAGTACAGAGGAAAGACCAGGCTTTATGGAAACCCACAGGAAAGAAACTGTTCCCTCAAGATTGACAATGTCCAAAATAGTGACGTTTTTTACGTAAGAGTCTTGGTAAACCGTACCTTCTTTAATTTCATCAATGATAAAGTTCACATTGATGTCACAGGTAAGATATTATAATGGTTTAATATCATTATCAGGAGATAAAGAGGATGAAAATGTAACTTTGTTCTTGTTTTCCGTTCATTATCAGGTGTAAACTCAGCCTCTACTACTAGTGGTAGGCTTTGATTTTATTCCGTTTTATTTTTTACATTTGCATTTATTGGTAGATGCCCTTAGATTAGCAGGCAGTAACATTAACAATAGCAGGTAAAATGTGATCCAAATTCATACTGTCACAAATCATTTCATTCTTTTAGAACCCGCGTATGTCACCAATCCAGACTATGAGAGTAAGTATTGATACTCACGCTTGGTTGATAAACGATTTGCCTGACTGTTGACTTCAAAGTACATTTTATGCAATGTTCTCAACAGTGCAGCCGAAACTGTCTGCACCAGTGTTGTTTGCTTCCATCTTTGCACCACTGTCTGTGCTTGTCGTCATTGCTCTGGTCATTGGAGTTCTCTTTTATTTGAAGAGGAAAAGGTAATAAACAAGTTCATTTCTTTTCCTTCCAGTGCCATTTATGATGTCACTGTGACATCTTTTGTTTTTGACTCTGATCATATAGATATATGTTGTATAACTGTAGCCAGAGCAGAATTATTTCTAAGATGTGGTGCCAGTCATCTGTGGTCATAATCCTGTCACAGGTCAGAGTCATTGACCAGGGAAGAGTCTGGATATTATGGTAATGTGAGCAGAGCAACATTGGACAAAAACAACAGGTTTGTTTTACAGTGGGATCGCAGCATATAAGTTATTTTCTGCATTAGTAATTAATAATTAGTAACATGTCTTTGTTATCTAAAAAATCCTTTTGTTCAGTGAAGCGCCATGCCAAAGACATGAAAACAAAAGACTTTCTAAAATAAAGAGCATCGATGAACCGATTTACGTCAACACTGAGGTAAAGTACAGTTTCCCACATCTTTGTGCTGCAGTTCATTTATCCAAGAACACACAGGGTGGGAGTGGAAAACATTCACTAGAAGTCATTTTGATTCTTTCTGTGATGAGCCTTAACTTTGAGGCTACATGTACATGTTCTAGAATGTTCTCTAGAGGGACAAAAATTCAGGACACCGTGAGATTCAAACCACCAGACAAAACTCAATCAGAAACAAACATACAACAGTTTTCAGCAGCACCCAGTTTAAGAAGAACAGCATTGTCCTCCTCTGGATTTCCTGTGTTTTTTTATCAGTAAAATCCAGAATTAGTTTGTGTTTTTGGAAAAAAGACTCCAAAATAATTAAAACTTCTGTTCAGATGAACGACAACCTGCGACACTTTGTAAATTCATCGTACACTTCCTGCGGTCCATTTGTCTGTACTTCACAACCACATTTTAAAACCCCCTGAATGTCCCTTTAAGAGTTCTATTACAACAAACTAGTGAAATGTTCACCAACATGTAATTCCAAATCTTCTGTCTTTGCAGAATCTGAAAAGTTATGAAGACGAGTCGACGGATCTAACCCAAAATGTTTACGCCAATTACTAGTACTTCCTCCAAAACGATACAAAATCTGTGGTCTGATATTTTAGGAACTACAGTTTTTTTTCTGCACAGTACACTTAAAGAAGGTGTCAGGTGTCAGCAATGGAGAAAAAGCTGCACATTCAGAGGCCTTGTTAACATTGCATATATTATACATTACTAATTGATGTTTATTGGAGTTTTTAATAACAAAAAAGTATGTTGTCAATTTACCATGAACTCAAATACGTCTAATATCAAGAAAAGGAAACAGAAAGTGAACTACTTGTCATTGTGACACCACAAAATGTCACCTGTTCTCATCTGCTTTTAACCCATCACCACAGTGAACAGTGGGCAGCTTTCAGCGCCCGTGGAGCAGTGTGTGGGGACGGTGTCCTGCTCAGAGCACCTCAGTGGTAACCTGGCAGCTGGTGGACTCGAACCTGAACCCAAGCCCCCTTCCTTAACCACTAAGTCACCACTGCCTTGTTCACTGCCTACTACTACTACTACTACTAATAGTAATATTTATTATTATTGTTGTTGTTGTTGTTGTTGTTGTAAGAACAACAACAACAATACTACTACTAGTACTAGTACTACTAATATTGATAATGAATAGGCTGATTAACAGGTCAGGTTGTGTTTTTCCGTAGTTAATAACTTAGATTAATTTAAAAAGATTTAGATGTTTGTGTACACAGAGCTCCTTTAATTATTGTATCGCTTACTATAGTTACATCTAACAGCTTCATTACTTTTACTAATTACTTATTTTATTACCATATCTTATCTATACATGTACATATTCCAGCACATCTTTCCAACGTGTTGTCGAGGTCGTCTTATGAGGGCTGACCAGTGACTGAACATGGTCGACATTCACGGGGGGCATTTGTGAGAGTGAATAAAAGCTCCTATTGAAAGCACAACTCTTCTGACTTCTTGTCATTCCTAGTATAGATAACTGGGCCACCAGCCACTTACTGTCAGCTGAAAAGAACCTTAAAATATATAGTAGGCTGTAACTTCTGTTTTTTTATTTTTTTATTTAAACCGACACTTTAACAACAAGGCTAAACTGTTGCTGTGTTTGAAGATAATAGAACAATGAACCGTTACGCAGAAGTGGGCAGAATTTGAATTTAAACTGATAAACACGAGGCTGTGATCAAAGGACAGATTATCAGCCATCACAACAACATTCCTGCAGTTCACCTTGTCGTAATAATAATATAATTTTCTACAGCTACATCACAGGTCCAGTATCAATGTGTTACACTATTTACAACACAATACATTTTCTTGACTTTGAAGATAAATCAACAACAAACATAATTGTTGAATAAAGAAAATACATTCTAAAAGTAGATGTTTCTCTACGTTTCCCATTAATTGTCACTCGGCAAACAGCTTAAGAAACACAAAGATGAAGAAGAAAAAAATTATGTCCAATATGTCATTGCTTTTATACAAGTTTCTTTTGGACACTGCACTGATAAACTGCAACTCAACATAGTTGGCAGTGTCACATGTTGGCATAAATCGGCTGATCGTTGGTCTGTGAGGAAAGAAGAAAAAACCACATGTTACTCAACCGGTCATGCAATAAAAAGAAAAGAAAAGAATGATGAATAAAAATAAGTCCACGCACCACGTTACCATACTCATGATTGTAAACTTTGTTACAATAGTGCACATCATGGTGCGCTCCCTCCCTGTGAAACAAAATGAAGAAAACTAACATCTCTACTTCATAAAGAGACAAAGTCATTGTTAGATACGTTTCAATAACTAACCTTCGGGCCGACGTTCTCTCACAGTCACCTCCAGTGTTCGCCGGCCTAGGTCTCCCACTGAGTGATGAAAATACATAGAATCTTGAAACTGTTTTAATGGCTATTTACATGGTAACTCTTATTTTGTTTGAATGGAAGCCGAGGTCAATCAGGGTCAAACTATAGATTTACGTTTTCTTTAATAAAACATTACTTCTTTTTATTTTAACCTAATTTGAAATAGCATAGCCATTGAATGAACGTGCAGCACGAGAGACAATGTGTGTATCATGTCCACATCACCCCTGGAGACATGGCAAAAAAACACTAGTTGCAGTGATCAATGTGACCGGCTGCTGTTTTTTCAAACTTTCAAAACACAACTTTTTTTTTTCTATTTTTAATATGTTTTATATATCACAAAGTTGTGAGATAGAAATTGGTCTTACAACTTCAAAATGTCTAAAATAAAGCTGTGGTTTAAAGAGACACTGTAGTATCACCTGGACTTGGTAGTAAACATCTGTGACCAATCCACTGACAACTGATAAAACAACATTTCTGTTATAAAGCTTTAAATATACATTTAACATTTAAATTAAAAACAGAAGAAACACATTCTGTACAAACTTACAACTTTATACAGAACACCACGGCAAGACTGGAAATCACCATCAGTACAGCTACTGCAACAGCGATGGGAATGTAGAGATTCTGCATCATATCTGTAAAAAAAAAAAGCTATGAGAAATCACTTCAGGCATTGATTCCCAAACACTGTGCTGTGGTACATTCTGGTGGTGGTCTGGAGAGATCATCGGGTGTGCTGAGGAAAATGATCAGATTTCACTTAATTGATCTGGAAACTATTATTTATTTTTTTGCAAATATTTGTCTGCGTTCCGGCAGAACAAACACTGACTGAAGACATTCGTCTTCCATTACTTGCAAAATAAACATTCACAACACATTATTACCATAGACGGGAAAGGGAAGAGTGTGGTTGGCAGTGCCTTCTGTGTTGTTTGCCAGGCAGTGGACGAATGTGTAGGACGCAGACTCTGTCTCCAGCATCCCGATGGTCATAGTGTCATGTCTCTCGATCTTTGTTCCTGGAAGAACTCTGTCAGAAACAACAAACTCCACGGAGCATGGCGGTCTGCACGCCACAGCGCACACACACTTGACCGTATCTCCTTGGGGGAAGCAGGAGGAGAGTGTCTTTATCTCCGGTGCATCTGTGAGCAGAGATGATAAAGTAATGGGAAAGTGACACTACTAGGACATACAAACCATTTAAATAATAATCATTAGAGTTATTTAGAATGTATGTAAATGTATAACCTTATCAGTTTGAATTTTGTTGCTTTTAGAACGCTGCTTGTGAAACAGTGCCAGCTGTAGCAATGCTACCTGCTAACATTTCTCTTAATTTTGTATTGTGCAAAATAATAATTATCACGCAAGTGCTACAAAATATAGCTTAGCGTCTCGCCTAAACGGAAAAACCGTAAAGGATTTGTAAAGAGTAGTGTTTTTTTCATCTTAACAGTTTTTCTGTTATTATCGCAGTAAAAAACGTATTATTTTGAAAATCTACCGGTTAATCTTTAAACGAAGAAAGTATGGAAATAAAGTGATTAACTTTTGTATGAGGTTAATTATTATAAAGATTTCTTGTATATGTCACAACTGCAATAGTTTATTTCTTACGTTTCACTTTAAGGACCCTGGATACTTCCTGCTGCCTCCCCTCACGGTGATGTGCGGTGCATAGCAAAAGCTTGTTGTGGTCGGCGCTTGTGGAGTTAAAGGTGAGAGAAACCGTTGCTTTCCACTGACCATCCTCGAACTTCAGTGGATGTAAGTGTTCCTCCCCCGGGTGACTCCAGCTGAAGGCAGGAAGAAAGTCCGGACAGACAGGAGTCAAGGAGCACAGAGCCTGTACGGCCTGACCCTCCACTGATTCGCTGACTGAGAGAGTCATGTTTTCACCACCTGTTATCAAAACAGAGATCATGACAGGCAGCTCAGAGCATTCGCGTGTTTTTAAGTATGGCTACTCTGATCAATATGACTGGCCAGGCATCACTATGGACAAATTGATTTAAATTGATTTATAAACAATGATTTATAATAATAATAAAAAAGCTCTCTGATCAATACAAATTCACTAAGAAGAGATAGGATATTTAAATTAATATTGGTATGGCTTTAAGGGTTGTAAATGAAAATTTGTGGAAAAAAAATAGCTAAAATATTTTTTTAAGGTTTAAAACATTACTTACCAACAATTATTAACTGAACTAGGTGCGATAAAAAGGAATAATTGTTAACATTGTCAATTTCAATTCGGAAAAAAAAAGACTCTAGGTCGTGCAGTTGGAGACGATTAATCCTCAGTGAACAGTTTTTGTGTTTAACATCTCCAATCTCTGTCCGATCCCTAAACTTCGGAATAATGGTCGACACATCTGGGTGATAGATGTTGTGATTATTCCTATCTTTCCAAACTCCAGTGAACTTTTTGGCCTGCTTTCCATTCTCCGGGTAGTTGTAAGAGCAGGGAATATCCACATGGCATCCAAGAAGCCCCTTCACTACGGTTGGCACGTCGACGGTCCAATGTGAGGTGTTGACGGAAAAAACTACAATCACATTGAGAGTCACCAGCAGGTTAAATTCCTCATCAAATAAATATGGAGTACCTGAGTACGTGTACTCAATCAAAGAAAAAACAACAAAAGAGAATATATTTTACCATTTAAGCAAAGACACCCAAAGAACAGAGACCATTTGGAAGCTTCCATCTTGTCCTCTCAGATTTAGACCTGGCAATAAGGTGACAATTCAGGTTTGGTTGTAAAATAGCTGTAACAATCCAGTGTGCCTCACTTCCTTCTTTGTGTGTCTTATTTTAGGAGTGACTTCTTCTATTTTATATTACACTTGACACATTTTATCCACTTCAAGAAACCAAATGACTCAGACGCACGGGTGCAGACTTTAAATACAGTCTAAAACAAAGATGTGGCTGCAGATATGGGTTTGGTTCAATTTTATATTTGCATATCTTTACTTAAAATAAAGACTGCAAATGCTGTGAGTTTAGTAAAAGGAAGTGAAAACTAACACTGTTGTACGTGTAAGGTTTTAATGCTCGCACTACTAGACATGAACTGGTTATTATTCACATTCCTTCCTCCTATATATTTTATATATAATATATTTAGCTTAAATCTTTAACTGAAATTATATTCATTGTTTTACCAGCTGCATTGAACAACACGCATGTACTTCTTGACTGTAGTGACACTAATATATGTGACAAATACATTCAGTATTTAATTAGATCCATATGAGACATTTTGATTTTATTAACATCTCTCGGTACATAACAATGTTATACAAATTTTGTATTTTTCCTCAAAAAATATTGTAAACAAATAACTAAGGTATGCAAGTTTGCCAACCATTGAAAAGTACAATGTAAAGATTTAAGACCCAGGTGGTGAAAACATTTTCCAGATAAACAAGTGCTGACTGTGACAAATGTCTTGTAAATTGTTGAAGGTCACAGGAAACAAGTGAAGAGTATGACAAGTTTTAGATAATGAAGGCAGTTCTGAGCGAGAAAATAGTCTTAAATGTACCTTACGTATAGTAGCGTGTGATGACCCTTGAAGACAGGATGTCTATGTCTCAGTTTCTACACAGAGGGGTCCTCTCTGTCCCTTTGTTCACACATACAGTTTTGTGGTTAAAAGAAAATATCAGCAGAGTTGCATTTCCGTGCTGACTTTCTGACAGCATTCTCACTCTGCAACCTCACAACCGATATCAGTCCATCATAGACCCTCGTCTCCAATAAAGGCAGGGTTCAGCCTTTCACCTGTGTCCGAATAACAGTGGTCTTCCTCCTCGACAGTGTCGTCAATGTAGGGATTGTCATGAATAAGGTAGACCTTTTTTACAGACAAATTTTGTTCCCCTTTCACTCTCCAGATCTCCTCTTCACACTCAGTCAAAAAGTCCTCCAACTTGACCGTGTCATCTTTCTGGCGTCCCCAGGACATTTTCTTTGGCATGGGCATGATGAAGCTGGTCGCTGCTGAGTTACCCATGGCAGCAAATTGTCCTGATCAGAGAAGAAGAGACGTTCATTCAGAAATGTTGGAATACATGTGCACTAAAATGAGAAAAGGAAAAGAAAGCTGCTTACCTTTGTTGCACGGTTCAGCTTTCTGACCCTAGATGGACAGACGCAGATCAGGACCAACTGAAGCTCTGACCTTACCTGTCTTTATAAGATCAACTAATCCCATCTTTGAGCAGAGGCAGCAACAATACAAGTTGAACAGCTCTAATCAACAAAGGTCTTCCACACTGATGAGACCACTGATCAATCAATCAACCACTCATTCAGTCACAGTGGGGTTTTGTTTGATCAAAACCATGTGAAATGCAAATTAGTGGAAATTAATTATGGATTCTTTTGTTTGTTTGCCTTTAGATTAATCAATATAATACATCACAAAAAACCTAGAACCAAAAAAAAAAAAAAAAAAAAGAAAAAAGAATCACAGCAACCGTGTGCCCAGTCCAACCCCACAGTGGAGCTTTTTAATCATGAGTCATTTTTAGACTCTTCAGTGGGGCAGAAAACATATCTTTAAAGTCTTTAAAATGTTGGGAGTGATCTAATCTATGGTGAGAGGTAAAAGGAAGGTCACACAGACAGAGGAGCAAAGGTTTTTCTGATCAAGACATAGTCAAAGTGTTGCCCTGCTAAGAAGGTGTTTCCATTATTCACACATTTCAGACCCACAGTTGTGTCTTGACGCCAGTAGCACTGAGGCCTCGGTTAGGTAACTTTGAGGCTGTGACGCATATGGCGTCATGAGCAAGTTTATTTGCCCACCACCGCCCCCACGAGCGGCAAAACGGCCCTGTGTGAGTGCACCCCGATAGATATTTGTACATACATACTTACCTACATAACGTACACGATATAGACCTACACGATATAGACGCTATCTCTCATCCCCCATATGGGCAAAATAAAACACTGGAATGGTTGTAAAAACAACGTGTCAGGTGGAAAAACACACAGTTATGAGCTTGTAAACCTCATAGTGACAGTACTGCTCTGCCACAGATTTGCTTTTAGATCCGTATTCGTATTAACTACTAATTAAGTTGGTGACTCCGGCAAGCAGCGACTGGTTTCCGTTACAATTGCGTTCCGGCGGAAGTTGGACTTTGTTCCGCTCTGCATTCTCAAAACATATTTAATCGTTACTAACCCCACCAAAACACGCACACGCATTGTGCTAAAACGTTATGAATGATTGTAAATACAATTAAATAAACTCAAATTCCTTCACGGCAGTGACGACTGCATAAAACTATTGACGTCAGAAAAAATGTCTCTTTCAAAACTTTATTTTCAAATCCGAAAAACATTGCCATTTTTTGTTTCACACTTCAAATTATTACATTTTATTCTAAATTTTAATATATTTAATATAATAAATGTATATAATTTAAGCCTATGTGTGTAGCTTTTTCGTTTATCTTAAATGTATATTTCTTGTAAATTTCATTTTTATTACACAAATAAATGCATATTAATGATGATTGGACATACAGACAAAGCAGATACTCGAGACCAAATAATAGCAGAAAAACACACGGGCAAATGTCTGTATATTCTTTAGTTCACTGACACAGTTGCTATCTGTCTTCTGTCCACTAGGTGGTGGTGTTTTTCACAAAATAAGTTTTTTCACTGTTTCTCTTGGTTATAAATGTTAAATTTGTATTACTTTATTAAGCCACTATTTTAAATGCTATTAAGAACCCGGTCAGGTTAAGTTATTCAAAATATGACAGGTAAGCTAGAGACAAAAAACGACAATGAGTTTTAATGATTGATAAAGAAAAGCAAAAGCTAAAAACAAATGCAGCCTCTTGTAGCAGTCATATTATAAATTGTGACACAAAGTATGGTAGCAGTGCCAAGCCATGAAACCTTCTGTATGAAGTGAAACCTATGGAGAAACTTACAACACTTTGTAAGTCGCGCTCCAACAAAATAAATTTGATTCAGTCAATGTTAACTCCATTGGGACGTCCTTATTTTAGGTTTAATGTGAAGCCGCATGTTTAAATGAATGGTGCCTGTGATCTTATAGGACATTAAAAAACGAACAAAAAATAAAAAAAGTGGTTTTGTGTTTATGTGTTAAGAAAGAAAGATTAGTGAGATCAGTGGTGTGACCAGGATCAGTATGCCGGCACTGGTGCTGCTGGCACTGTTGCAGTAGTTGCCCTCACAGCAGTTGATTTCTGATGGTGTGGCTCCAGGTAGGAGTGTAGATGTAGTCTTAGAGCAAATCTGCTTGGAAGCACATCCCTTCATTGGCACCTTTTGATCTCCTTGATTAATTTAAAAATGAGAAGACAACGTTTGGTTTTAGGCTAAGGGTTTCAACACCACACCACAATCAGTGAACAGGATTTGAAGGACATGGTTGAGAATCACCTATTGTTGATACACAGTGGTCCTCGTCGCCTTTGCAGTTCAGCGTCCCAGTGCATGTTTGTCCATCACAGCGGTAGCACTTCTTACCATTAGGATTGGATTGCTTTGGATCTGAAATGTAAAACAAATAAGTTTTGTCCATAAAGGCTAAAATGCACGCCACAAAAACTGACTCACGTACAGAGCTTTTTGCTTATTACAAATATGCAAGAACCTTTAGCTCAAAGCTAATCTGACTTTCTATCTTGGACTAATAAACTGTTTAGGGTGTGTCTCAGGGCTTTATTTAAGGTGGATTAAGATCAGGAACAAGATCTGGCACCTTCGTGTCAGAGTGAAAAAAAAAGTTTGTTTAGTGTTCAGTTTTTTAAAAAATCTGTTAATCTTAATTGATGTTGCACGGAAACCTGGTGTTTGCATGTATAGATGCATTTTTAGGTAAAGAGGAGGAACAGACGCACACACACGTGTCTAAGAGCAGCTGTTGGTTTACTCTGCCCTTTGGCGTTTACGATGTGTCTTCAACAACTAAAAAAAAAAGGTCTAATGTCGAACCCTATATGCTGAAATATCTCACATCCCATCTGCTGAAAACATCCCTGTTCAACTCCAGATACAGGGCTAATATGACTAATCAAACAAGAACCGGAGACAGAATTTTAAATAGTAATAAGGTTAGCAAACAAAAGCTTAAGCAAATGTTAAACAATGTTTTAATGCTGGTTTAAAACACATGCCATGCAAACGAACATCATCGAACCATTTCATATGTGTGTTACCGGGGGGAAATTGTTTGTTGCAGAGGTCACTGTTGCAGCACTCGGAAACGATCGCTGTTCGATTCACTCCAAAGTCTAGGGAACCTTGAACGCAATGCGCAGCCATGGCACAAGACTTCTTTTTCATCTCACTAACTTTTGAATTACCTGCAATAGGAAATAGAACTGTGGTCATTTCCCACTGCACAACAACAACAACAACAAAAACAACAACAATAATAATAACGATACCATTGTAATTGATGACACGGAAGGAGCCACACCGATCCTCGCCTGTGGAACAATGTTTTTCTGTCTCTGTGCAGGTTCCACCTGCTTGAGGCTTACACTCATAACATCTTAAGGTGAAGGCTGATGAAACACACACACACAAATAATAAAATAAAACAAAGTAGACATTTTTAAGCAGAACGATGTAACGATCTTTCAACTGCAAAATAACTGGGAAAAAATGGAGAGAAACTTGGGTGGGGCCTATCTGTTGTAAGTCACCTAAAATGCCCCCATATATAGCAGCTGCGTTATAGAAACAAAGAAATTAAGAAAAGATATTTAACCCTTTCTTTTCTCAAAGGTACAGCTGGTTCAAACAAAACAAAAAAAACTCACCTTTAGGCAGAAGCACAATGCTGAAAATGAAGAGGAGAAGCATTTTTCTACAGTTGGAGATAACTGACACTGTCTGTTCTGTTCTTTCCACTATACAGTGGGTAGTACTTCTTGAAGGAGTGGCCTTCTCTGCTCAGTCTTGACACACCTTCATCCTCCTTGTGTGGCAACAAAATCGAAGCTTTTTATGTCGTGGTGCAGAGATAAATAAATGTATTTAAGCCTCTATTTAAATTTAAATATTTAAATAATTTAAATATCTAATTTTAAACATAAGAGATTTAAACCATAGCAGATCATTTTTTTAATAAACACGTATGTGTGGATATTTAGTTCAATTTAGTTTCCAATATTTTTGATGTTTGTAATTCATCCAAACCATCCTATAATCTGGATATTGATACAAATCTTAAAAATCTTTATTTTTAAAAAATATGTATGCTTTAAATTGTATGTGTTACTGCATCAGCAAAAGGAGAAGCTTTTGTAGATGGTGCAACACACAGTCATGAGATTCAAACCCACAACCCTCAAATCACAAGGACAGTCCTGTCACCATTGGCACTGCATTAAACTGCCACAGCCTAATAATATGTTTTTTTGCAGAATGTTCTAGTAAACAAGGTTGACAATTGAATTGTAACCAGGCATCTGTGGTTTCCCTGATAATTCCTTAGAAAAACAGATGTTTTGTCAAGATTATTTTTAACCTTTCAAAGACTTGTGAAAAATACAAACATCTATGTCTTTAGATATAATACATTCCTCAGCCCATTACTCTGACCTGTGCTATTTCAAATATATGCCTAATCCAAATCGTTGCCCCAACTATAATCCCAGTTAAACTCTAACTTTAACTGTAAATTAAATAATTGGCCTCAAAATAGAATCTGAGTCGAATAGGATCTGCAATGTGTCCTCACAAATACAGTGTCCTACAACAATAGTATCTAAAAAAAGAAAACATCTCCACAAGTATAGCTGTACAAGGAACACACACACACACACAACTGCCCTTGTATTTGTTACATATCGTGCCTACAGTTCTTGTACCAAACACAGGACACTATCTCACATTGACTTTTTATCTTAAATACTGCAATGAACATGTACTATTCTTCAATATTCCATCATGTCCACACACCTTCAGTTAGCCTATGATATTGTATTGTTATTATGGTATTATAACAACACCTAAGGAATAACAGATACAGCTGTATTTGTTCATTTCTGTTTTTACATGTTTATCTTCTCTTCTCCCCTACTGTGACGGAACATGGACGAATCGTCTTTTTCGCACACAGACCTGTATGACTACTATATTTTGAACAATACAAGTGCAGGATGCAGCTGAGCACAGGCTGAACATAGTGAACAGGTACAGACACGTTATACACAGTAACTGCTCTATTAGAGACTGCTAGTAAAATGTTTGAAAGGAAAATCCACCTCAGGTTAGAGGGGGTTCGAACAGAGCTGTGTCTGCAGGAAAGTACACAGTGGAAAAAGTGGACTCCATGAAGCAGATCAGCTTTTACAACAACTAATAAAGAGGATGGTTTTAACATTGAAACCCCAACAACATGCTGTAAAAACATGACAGGAACAGGTAATCTGGAGATACGATAGGTGTCATGATACAGGGGCAACAAAACGATACATTTTGATATACTGCGATACTGTAGGCACTACCATATATGTTGAGGTTTGTTTTAAACAATTAAATTTAGGGATGTGCAATACTAACTTTTTGCTGACATCTGATATTGTCCAAACACTAAATTTCCAATTCTGATATCAACCAATACCAATATATGCCTGGTAATGTTTATTTATTTATGTATAAACCACTGTATGAGTTTAATCAAATGAGCTGCAATGTTGCCATCTAGTGACTTTCACTTTAATATACAGCAATTCTTCCCCAAAGCGCACACATCATTTGTCTAAACCCAGCTTCCCCAAAACTATTTTTTAGCGCACACATCATTTGTCTAAACCCAGGCTTTGCGTTATCATAATATGCTAATATCGGGCAATATTATCGGACATCCCTAATTAAACTGTAGTAAAGTTGTCAGCATATTAAACACACAGCGCTGTTACCTGCTTAACACCAGGTTACTAAAATTGGATAAAAAAAAACCAAAAAATCACTAAAGAAGAAATGAAAGCAAAATAAAATATAATAAAATATTTACGTTAATTGTTTATCACAAACATGCAGTCCAACATTGATATAATAATGTGAAACGAAATATTGCATATATGTGAATATATATATAATAATGTGAAACGAAATATTGCAATGTATCAGTGAAGTGATATTGTGTGACACCCTTAGTTACTAACTTTGCAGTAAATAAAGACATTAAACTGTTTTTAAGTCAGGACTAGCTCGTGTCTTATAACCAGACATACTATTATTGTTCTGCACCTTGCAATTGAACGCAGCACTGAATGATCTGCAACTGTTGTGCAAGTTCTTGCCAAATAAAGTGACAAAATACATCAAAAAATTTACATCATCTTTAACCTGAAGTAATTAAGAAAATAACAGACAAAGTTTCCCACTTTGTCTTTCCGTATTTTATTTATTTACGTGCATTTGCCACTGACTGTTTCGTAAGAGTTCTCAGAGAATGTTACATAATTAAAAGTAAGAAATAATGGTGAACTAATATTCAAAACACCGTCTTTTGGCTTTTAAAGACTTGCTGTACACTTATGTCTGTTGAACATTTCCTGAGGCTAAGCCCCTGCAACGCTCTGTCTTTGAATGTTCCAACAAACTACGCATATTTGAATGATCTCTGCAGTTCCAGAACGTCTAGTTGTTCTGCACTGAACTTCTTCTAGTTCAACCCGTCGTCCCCACAACCCGAGGCTTCAGTTTTCTGCGACCCGATGTTGAAGGTTGCACCAAGTTGCAGACAACAGTAGCATTAGCAGAGCAGACGACTGTATTCCGACAGCGCTGACGATTTTTTCACACCATCCCAGATACGAGCTGCATAATGAAACCTGTTAAAAAAAAAAAAGGGGGAGAATATCTGCTCAGAATTATCAAATGCTTTTCAATTTATATAATTGTTAGAGCAGGGACGATGTAAACAAGCACTGTGGCATTTTACTAAAATGCAAAGAGAGTATCTCACTGTTCTTTTCTAAAATTAAATATTTTCAGATTAAAATGTCCCTAAAAAAACCCTATAAAATAATAAAAATCAGTACTCATAATCCACTCATAATTTCCATGGTTTTACAAACAACCATAAGACAAACAGCGGTCGCCGTGTTTTCCCTCTCTAGTTCATATCTCTCCTCCTAGGTTGTTCAAATGGTTCCAAAGAGAAGATCTGTTCCCCTTAGATTATGATATCAGTGTTAATACACATGACCACCACCAGCAGCAGCACCACCACCAGCAGCACCACCACCAGCAGCAGCAGCAGCAGCAGCAGCAAATGCTTCTCGTGTTTATATTGTCCCCTTGTTCTTCATTTAAAAAATAAATATATATTTTAAGATCTGTTTACTCCCCCAATAGTTTTAATTTTAAATTACTCTCTTAAAATGTAATTATTTCCATTTTCTTCCTTTGAGGATAAAAAGATACAGGTGTGTCGTCATCTGAGCACGTCTTAGCTCCACACTGACTGATTCTTTTGCCATAGTTTACCAGTTCTTCTCGGTGAGGATAGTGTGCGAGAGCTGACATCGAGGCATGCTCAGTATTTGGCTGCGAAGTTTTGAGACCATGGTGGAGAAGGAAGGATGACCTCTGTATCCTGGGAGCAGGGAAAAGAGCGGGTAGGTTCCCGACCCTAAACATGACACTGTGGTCAATTCTTTCATCCATTAGTCTTTGCTGCCACAGACATAGATTGTTGAGTGCTGTGACTCTTTCTTGCCTGCTTTCGTCAGATTGTCCTCCCCATCGTTCTCCTGCACAGGAAGTAAGAACATGTTGACCTCAGGTGACAGATAGTCTGCTCTCAGGCCGGGGAAGATGTTGCAGTCTAGCATGGACAACGTGCCTGAAAAGAATATGAAAGGAGAGGAGGGAAATGACTGTGAAGAGGATAGAGGGGAACTACAGATGGAGTCTACAAAGATATATATACAGTACATATATATACAGAGACACACACATAGAGTGTAGGTGAATAAAAAAAGCACACATGATGCACCTTTGTACTTGAGATGGGAGTGCGCCATTAATTTATCCACCACCAGGTGCATGGAATTTAGACTCCTAGGACAGAAATCATCTCTTCTGACCTTGTTCTGGAGAAAAACTGGTCAAACAGATATTCAGAGAAGAAAGATAATAGTGTTACTGTACACACAGAGTTCATTTCCTTGCCTGAGGAAAAAGAAAATACATTCTTGCTTTTCTAGAATAATGTCTCTAAACTTAAAGTCAAATCAGAAGAAAGCAAACTAGCACAGGATTTATCTTCTCCTGTCTGTGCAGCACCGATATTCAATCACCTATGTGAGGATAGTACTCTGCTCCATCGTCACCGCCTGAAGAGCCAGAGCTGTCATGGCTCGCAGATGGAGTGGACGGTTTCAGCATTTCAGCAGTCTGAAGGAACCTACTCACAAGCACAACATGAATGTCATCATTTACAAATCAAGTTTGGATGTGCTTGGTCCAGAAACCAAGCACATCCAAACTGCTACACATAGATCTTTCTTGGTTGCTGTATTTGTTCATATGGTCAGATACTAGAACCACTGGAGTTACACTGGAAACACTTCAACAGCAATTTCCAGCAGGTCTGGTTTAAGATGCAGTTGTTGTTTACAAGACCAATGGAAGGAATGTAATCACTGAGCTCATTCTCAACATTCCTTTGGGAGGAGCCAACAAGCAGGTAACTGTCAAGGCCTTCACAAGAACTGCCGTGAAACTGCGTCATTCAAACTGCAAAGATTTATCTGAGATGTGCCTACCTGTACATGTTGGAATCAGTGAACCAGTCTTGGACCACGATGATCACATGGCACACTGTGAACAAGAACGCAGCGATCTGGAGCGACTGTAAACAAATTAAAATGATACTGATGTGGTTACTTTGGTCTGTGTTAGCTAATGATAAAACTAATGAGCGCGGCATTTACAGTGCAAATTGAGATCGCCTTATGCGCCCTCTGCTGGCCGTACACTGACCTGCATCTCAACATATGTGTGAGGGAGGTTGTACTCTGGTGGCAACTTCCGGTCATTGTTAATGAGATGGTCCAAAATGGATGGGCTGAGCATCGGCTAAAAAACATGCAAGACATAAGTAGAGGTGCACAAATTGCAATTTTTGCTTTTGCTCTTATTAAAATGACAGGAGTGGTAAGGAAAAAGTAATCCATCAGTCTAGTAATCCAGTCAATGTTGGACAAAACAGAAGCACCACATTCTGATTCCTGATATTTACGAAAAAGGAAAAACGTGACTGCTGTGTCTAAAATCATTGAGTCTCACCTGTGTGTCCAAGAAGATAACTCTCTCCTGTGTGATGAAGAAATCGATCCCTGTGCTCTGGTTCCCTCCCCTCTCCTTGATTTCTTGAGTTTGGGGTCTGAATACAAAACTCCTGTGTAAATAAATACAGTATGTGTTTGTTGTAAGCTCACAACAGTAAAGACCGAAGACAACATACCAAAGAGGCAGGTGACTTTGTCACACTGTGTGGTCAGAATGAGTACTTCAGTTAATTTAAATCATGTCATTTCTTTGTCTTTTATTGATTCATTTTTCCTTGATTCATTTCAGAGGGGGGGGGGTCATCTGAGGGTCAGGGGGCATCTGGCCACGCAATATTATCCTTTGGGCTATTGTGTGTTTTGTCCCATTGCATAATATTTTATGAACTACCTCTGGTCTTCCTCTGGAGTGTTGGCTGATAACAGTGACATCACTGTAGATTTCCCAGTTCCTTGAAGACCAATGACGCCCACCACCAACATATCTGTCTGGTCCCTCAGGTACTGCACACATGAAGCGAAAAATCACCATATAACGTCAAAGTCACAGGACGTGAAAAATGTACTAAATAAAAATGACTCCACCACAACTGATAACCGACTCACCTCCATGGCACTGTCACACCAGTTCATCTGATCATCTACTAGTTTAATGCTGTGCTTCATCTTCTCTGGCGGGACAAGCTTGGACTGGCCAACCATTGCTGAAAAACAATTTGACCATTGTTCATTCAAAAGTTCATTATTGATAATTTGGGGCAACATTAAGAAGATGTCATCAACTTCAATAATTCCAGTATAAATCTACACAAACTCACGATCCACAGCACTGCTTGATGCAGAAGCACCCATTCCTCGGTTTTGAATTTGGTACACAGGCTGTGTAGGCCGCTGCCCTTCTCTCTCCATCTTAGAAGGTCCAGAACCCGAGGTTGGAGCTGTTGCTTCTGGAGGTGTCCCTGTCTTTCCTGCATCATCTCTGGCTTTCATTAACATAATGGGCTTCTCTGGGACTGAAGCTCCACTAACAGGTGTATTCTGTGATGACTTAGCCTTAAAAAAAAACATAGGTCACAGTAATGGGAGAATAAGAGTAATTCACATTTTTGTTTCATTATCAGGATGTTTTTATTTTGGTGTGCTTTGGGAGCCTTTTAAATAGGGTAAGATATCAGCAAACACAGATCTGCCTCCATCACGGACTTCTAAAGGTCAACCTACTCTCTCTCCGGGGGGTTTGGCGAGAATAATGGGGGTCTTCTGAATGATTGGACCGGGTGGATCTTCACTGCCATCCTGAAAACAGACACACGACGAAGGGCTACGGTTCACAGTACTAATCACATGCAAGAAGAACCTTCAGGAGCACGGTGTTGTGTTACCCTTCGTTCTCTCGGCTGATACTCTCGATCCCGGCTAGGACCAGACAAGTTTTGCCCCGGAGGTCCGGCATCTCTGTCTCCCCGACGTCGCCTTCTCCTGCGTCCCTGTCCATACATTCCAGGCTGACTGTGGCCGGACTCTGACATGTCGCCAAAACAACAGAAGCAACTACAACTACAGATACAAGTCCGAGCGATAATAAAATAACTAAAGCTTTACCTTTAGTAGAATGTTCGCAATTCAACGATGCTACCCCAAGCTACAAGTACAGTGACATTATGGATAGGTATAATTGATGCTTGAAACATCGCCGTATTATCATCACTTCGTGTCTACAACCTGCATGTGAAAGCTTTTAGATGGAGCGTTCGTTTTGTTACCCTGCGTTACAACGTTAGGATACGATGTTGTTGTGGTGAAGCTTTACGTCGCATTAGAAGAAACCCCACCCGTCTAAAAATATTAATGGTTTTAACCAAGCGCACCTTGTTCGTCTGTAAACGAACTCGGTAACAACATGTTTTTTTCATAGTTCCTATACACCACAACCGAAGACATAAAACGACAAACAAACATCAACAACATCGAAAACGTATTTAAACTCCCAATAAACTCATGCTAAGATATTTACTAAAGTAGTAGTAGAAGTAAAGAGAAAATATTCAGTATTTAAACTTTATGCCTCTGTGAAGAACACTGCCATCTTCTTCCGGTTTATACCAGAAACGAGTCTCGGTGTGTGCGGTTCTTTATTCGGACAGTTATTAAGGTTAGAAAGGAACCTCTGCTTTTAAAGATACTTCCAAAATTAGCCATAATCACCTGCAAAACAGTACTCATTTTGGGGATATACTGTATAAGCCTTGCTGCTTATTATATCCTCTTCTGCCAGAGACATTCATTACAAGTCTTCCTCAGAGATGTTCTGTTTCCTTTTCCTCCATTACTTTTCCATTTTCTTTGGATGATTCCATTGGTTTCCAAGATTATAGCACAGCATCGCCGAGCTGTAGGTTGCAGCTTTAGCCAAAAGAGGTGAGTGATCTTCCAAGCACAGTAGGGTGTTATTCTACACAAAGATAAGCTGTAATTTATATGTAAAAATATAATATGACCCCACAAAACTAGGTACAGACTACATGGACGTAAGTGCTATCAAACTACACTAAATGTGTTATTGTAGGAGCACAAGCGGTTACAGTGACCGTGGAAAAACAAATGGAAATATAGGACAGTCTGCGACACTCAAATGACAATTCTAAATTCTAGAACTAAAAAAAATAGCGTTAAATAAATAAAACAAAAATAAATATCCAGTGTACCATCTCTGTGATTCTATACAGCGGTTTCTAACATTCCTTTATATAGCAGGCGCACTTAGTTTAGCATGGTAACACGCTAATATTTGGTCCCTAGCACCTAATAAAACATGACTTAGTTAGGGAAGTGGTGTGTTTGTATTTTTGCTTTGTAAAAAATCCCGGAAGGTCTGCATGTCCGACGTACTTTCACCCGGGAAGGGGACTATCGACACGGTTAGCATCACAAATGCTGTTAGCCACCGTGATGTTAGCTCCGGAGCTGTTCGCCGGGAAGATAGAACAATGTTAAATAAATGCTGGACTTTCAATACACGCTCTATTTCCAGAAAAGTGACTGTACGTCGACAAATGTAATAAAACCTGTGTTTTGTTCCTCCACTCCACTTTTTATGTAGCATTCAAGAGGATAAAGAAACGCCGTTTAGTGTTTATTGAGAAACTTTCTTATAGCACATATTACTACTCTTGAGCATGTTTTCAATTTAGCTAACATTACTCCTGTATCTTGACATACGTTACTAGCATAGATTAACTCAAAATGTTACAAGTTTAGTATAACAACAAAAAATATTATTATTATGACAAACTGCTCAGTTTTAGCTGTCCATCTGACACGTGTTGTTTGGTCCTAATGAAAATCAAAGCAGCCTATAAAGCAACCGTTTAGTTTTTAGTTTAACCTTTATTAGATTATACCACAATCTCCAAACCATAATGTGTAGCATTGAGTTGATGATGTATTATTCTAATTTATGAAACATTGTTGCTGTGTATTCGTCTTAGATCACTGACAAACTTTCAATGTTGCCTTTTTTATTTTGTCTTCTTGTTCATATTGCAGACCATCCACGTAGTGAACTCCTCTCATGTTTCAAGATGCAAGCAAAGATGAAGCTCAGTGTGTATCTACAGTAATGGAAGACTTTGTACAGCATTGGAAGATTTGTAGAAGTTCAGCAGTTACAGAGTTCAGCAGAGTATTGAGATTTTCAGTAGCCACCGGGACATGAAGAGGTGCACAACAGTGATGCAGCTCCATGTTGAGAAGATTCCACTTTGATTTCTGCAGTCATAGAGGTGAAATTCTTCTATCATGAGATGAAGGTCCAAAACAGGCAAGATTCGCTTTGACGTAACTCACTGCATAGGATGAAGCTCTAACAAACAAACAAAAAAAATTCAAGGAACAGTCGGACTTGAAGCTGACCTTTAAAGTGGTGAAGATTTTATTGTGGTGTGGATAATAAGCCTGCCAATATGAGAAGGAAAGAGTATTCGTCAATCTCAGAATCTAGTAATGGACATAAGATGCACTCTGAACTTAAGAACTCCCCAAATCGTGGGCAGTCCAAACAAACACCTAATGTTAAATGCTCAGTTTGTACCATTTGTCGCAGAGGGCCCTTCAGGTCATTGAGGATACATATGCGTCACTGTACTGGTGCACCAATGAAATATCAGTGTTCACTCTGTGAAAACCACTTTGTAAGTGAAGCTGCTCTTCAGGAACACTATATGCCTTTATACGCCTGTCACGTCTGTGGTCAGATTTTTCCTCAAGAAATATTATACCGTCACCACTCGTGTCCAAAGGACAGCCGCTCTCCATATGTGATCTACTGTTCAGATTATAGGCCTAAAGCGTGCAACATATGTAAATCTTTTTTCACATCTCAAAAGGCTTTGCTCAACCATGTCACCAAAGTTCACACATCAGTGGTCAGCACTAAAATATGCATTGTTACCAATACATCAGCATTGAAAAGTAAAACTTTTTTACCTGTCGACACAGCTCAGTCCGAGGTCACTCATTCGTCCCTGACTCCTCTGTCAATATCTAATCCCAGCTCCTCCCCCTCCGACATACATCTTGACACGTCCTCCATGTTGACAGCTGATTTATCTGGGGTGAAACCAGACAACCAGCCCCAAAACCATGCTGCTACGCCTGCAATTGCCCCCTCCACTGCTAATGAATCTATGGACCCTGCTCCCCCACCAGATCTTTCTATTGTGGCTATCTTTAAAAATAAAAGCGATGATGTGGCTTTCATGAAACGCATGAACACAGGCTGGCGTGCTAAGATCCCATACTCCTGCAGGCACTGCGGTGCCATCTCACGCCAGCTTTCCTTCATTATCAGCCACCGTTACCTGCACCGAGGCAGTGGAGCTCACCGCTGCCATTGTGGTCGAACTTTCAAGCACAGGCTGCACCTGCTACGACATTGTCTCCTGCACGCGGAGGCATTGAGTTACATCTGTGCAGGCTGTGGGGAAACGTTCTTTGGAGCAAGACTGTTAGCTGAGCACATGAATGGGAAAACACAGACTGGGCGAACCACGGAGTGTAAAGTTAAAAAAAAGTGCAGAATGCCTTTTACGTGTGACTGTGGACAAGTGTTCATGAGGCCTTCTGCTTTCATCTGGCATCAAATACAAAACTGGACCAGAAGTGGACATTACAAAAAACGAATGAATGGAAGAATGCCAAACTATTATCGTTGATAATTCACAGTGTCCTTCACTGTATCCACCACAGAGAAAAAAATGGTAAAAAGAAACTGCACACACACACACACAACAAAAACTTTTGGCTCTTTAATGATATGCATGTTTTGAACGTTAGTTAACATTTTTGCAAAATGTTTACATGATACATTGCGAGTGATTGGTATAAAGTGCACAGGAAGCACTAATCCAGTACAATCGAGTATTTTTAATATTAAACCATGAATCCAGTTAATTCTCCAAAAATAGTTTGTCCAGTTGTTTATTTTTCAGTTCAGTTTGTGTGGGTTTCCATGTTTGCTTATGTATACTGTGATTTTTTTTTCTATCCTTGACTATTTTTTTCTTAGGTTTGTATTTTATATTTGCTCTTTTTTTATTATGTTCCTTAAATTCCACTAGATGGAGCTGTTTTACCGTTTACAAAGCCTGCTCCGATCGCCGTGATGACAGGTGTGCAGTGTTTGCATATATTAATGCTGACATAATTTTAGTCGAGTTATTATTATATTATTACATTGGTTTTGACATCTTTTTGATCATCAGTGAAGTGCTAAAGGTACTTAATACACGTTTGTTCTGCGGGTTGACTATAATGATTTTTATCATGTTCTTTGTGTGTATCAGAAAAACCAAAACATGTTGTTTCCCACTGAATTATATTCAATTAAACGGTATACGAAAAACATTCAATCAATTTTGAGACTGTATTTGATGAATCAATGAAAGAACAGCCAATGAGCAAATAGATCAGCGTTTGACTGAAAAGAACTTGTAATATAAATTATAATTAAAGACATACAGATAAAACTCCACAGTTGTAAGACAGTTACATGAATCTCCACTTGGTTTCTATTTGGTCACAATATAAAACCCATCACATTGCAACAATATTTACAGCGATTCCTTTTCAATTATGCTAAAAAGGTCAAAATTTAAGTTAAGAACAGTGAAAAAGATGAGCTCAATAGTAGGTTGAAGCTGGTCCACTAAGTGGTTCAGCACAAAATCTAAGTCTAAAACAGCTGAGGGATCAGAGAGGAGACGCCACGCTTTCATTGAGAATGATTGAAAACGTTGAAGATAGCCAAGTGCCCGGAGTGGAGCCATGTCATCTGTAGCAGAACAAGAAGCACAAAGATGTCATTTCTCTGAGCAGCCATGTCCTGATTCAGTAGTTTATGTAGGTTTACCACATCCTTCAGTGTGGTGTTTAAAGATGTGCACAGCATCAGCAGCATTTCTGAGTCTTCACCTGATTTCGGGATTGTGCTGATGTAGGACCTGAGACAGAAGCTCCGAGGTTTGGTGGAAGCAGCGACTCAGCTCGTCCAGTTTCTGCTCCATGGAAACGATACGCTGCTCCAGCTCCCGATAGGAATTGTTCCAGTTGGCACTCAGATCACTCATGATCATCTGCATCTGTTGAAAAAAAAAAAACCCAAAAAAAACATGTTTTTTCATGAGATTTGGACAACAGTAAAAAAGAGTAGTGACTTAAATGAGTAACATGCACTATAGTGTTTTGTAGAAAATCGGTTCATGTTGTGTTGTACTAGTAATCATGTTTTGAGCTTGTTTTAGGCGAACATGCACACCAGCATCCAAGCACAACCAAGGACAAGTCTGTGACTGAATAGTTGCCCTTTTAAAATTTTTTACTGCATACTTTTTTATTGCATAAAATTGCATACTTTTTTATTGCCGTTTCCCACTTATTTACAAAAGTCAACAAACAGTTCAATTTAATGCACAACGTAACCTATTCATTGCAAACTGACCATTGCACGGTTTTACCTTTTAACATTTGAAGGCTAATAAAAAACAGATCTTTTTTTTCCAATTGCGTCAGTTAAGAAAACTTTTTCTTTGCACAAATTACACACTGGTGCCTCACGCTGGGTGATATCTTTATATCTTGGGTTGATTCCATGTGGAAAATTCTGCGTCTATGAATATTTGAAACAAATAAATCTGACATCCGACATTTAATAACACACTTTTAATGTGCCTGAACGCAGGGAGATAAACAGCAGACCGTAAAATTTTGGAATAACATTCGAGACTGGTTTTACTTGGATCCTGGTCGTCTTTCATTTTTCAGCAGCCTGTCATGCAAGAGAAATGTGCAGTAATATTCTAGTGAGGGCTGCGGCTCACCTTCGGGAGGTCCACCATCTCACTCACATAGTCTCTCAGTTGTCTTTGTTTAAAGCGTAAATGACGAAATCTGTGCAAAGAAAGCGCTTTGGATCAATCATGCAGACACGGACAACAGGCAACTAACTAACAAAAAGACTTATTTTTTTTCTTGTGGAGAAATATGATGAAGCAGTTGATTCTTAAGACCCTCATTAAAAGAGTTATCTTGAAACTCCAAACCAAGTGTTTTCAGACACGGGAGGAAATTTAATATAAAACATTTGTGAAATTCTGCCTTATTTCAGTAGCTGTAAAAATGAAAATGAATTGAACAAAACTGGACTTGGTCATGATCAAACGTTTAAACCTCTCAAAACATACGTTCACACTTGAAACACAATGTCCAGACTGACTGATTTTGGACATCAAGGTTTGACCCAAAGGTAACTTTAGAAGTTTGACCTCAAAAATACTGCAGCCCCTCCTTCAAATATAACTAGAATGTTCAGTTGGTCCTGAATCAAAAAGTCTCTGGACATAATAATTATGTGAGAGGTTTTTTTCATAATTCTGTCGTGGACGATCATGACGTACAGGTGAAACATAAAAATGGATGGAAATCTACCACTGCAGTCTGGAGTGTTTATATAAACAGTACATAATCCCAAATGAGGGGGAAACCTCCACCCCCCTCAATCATACTTTCCACAGCATTATATAAAGTGGTACTGCCTGGTGTGTGTGTCAAGCAGGAAATACCACACACACACCTAGCTGTGTTGTAATGACCAAACACCTTCTGGACTTCCTGCCTCGTGGAATATACTCAATCATGAGGGGTAGAGGTGTGTGTGTGTGTGTGTGTGTGTGTGTGTGTGCTGCTCTTTGAACCTGTGCACGGCTGTCACTCACTGACACAGCGCAGGGTTCAAGGCCCTGTCAGTTGGTGGTGTTGGTGGTGAGGAGGGTGAGGAGGAGGGTGAGGAGGAGTGGGTGAGTAAAGAAACGACACTTTCTTTCTCTCACTCTTTTAGTTACATAGAAAATGTTGATTCAGAGTCTCTATTTTTCTTACTGTTCATTTTTGGGAGTTCACTGCTTGTTTCAAAATCAGCTCAACATAAAAGCATACTGTAGCAGGGAGCCGCCTAATCCAATTACTAATCTAAATAAACCATTACAAACAGTGACTCTGTGGTTGAACATGCCGCCCCAAATGTAATGACCCGTAAAATGCACGTGCATGGCCTAAAGAACTCAGCATACGTCCCTCACCCGGACATCCTGCCTCATGGTGTCTTTTAGTGAGACAGTAACTCACACTCTGATGGCTTCTAGAAGACATCTCTGGTGTCGTCTGTGCTCTCCACGGCTCGCCATGGTCACGTTAGTGCGGTGCAACAGCCAGCACGCCCTCAGCACATTTGCAGCAGCGTGGCGGATCTGTTAAAGAGGGAGAAATGTGAAAAATGACTGATTAAAAAAGAAAAGTTCAAGGGCCCAAGTAGGGAAGATAAAAGCAATCAACCTCACAGACCTGACTTGGGGAAAAACCACCCAGCTCTAATCTCTTTTCAACATCTGATTTTTTTTCCAATCATCAACAGGAAATAAATCATGTGTCTTAACAATGATCAGATTAAGTCTAGCCACTGTTTCCTGTTCTGTCCTTTAGCTCCAACATGGTGATTTCAGATAAAGTAGAAGTATGAAGCTCTTATTACCACCGCAGCCTGTTTACATCCTCTCTACCAGGTTCTACAGACACCCAGTGCAGACCTGGGGCCTCATGAAGTCAAAATGTTTCAAATGTTTTAATTTCTTCTAATCCTGCTTTTTTGTGGGAAGAAAAAAGCAGGATTAAATTATGAAATTATTGACGTTATCCTCCAGTAAAGGCTTTCCTTGACTTTACATTTCTTTGATTCTATTTGTGTCTGTTTTTCTTCCTGCTCAGATCACTGTAAGTGCCCTGTGGTGATGTCAGTGTCGCCCTGTTGTGGGGGTTATTATTAGAAGCTGTCAATGTCTCCAGCCAGATGTCTTCCCTTGTTCCCATCAGTGTAAACCTGGACTACCCTCAAACACTCAAAAGGATGCACACACACACACACAGGCGCGTGCACGCAACACCACACGCTCACACAGCAACAACCAGCAGCAGCAGCAGCAGCAGCGAGTAAAGATGCACCTGGTGACAGGATGCAGCCAGGGGGAGAAAGGTTGTATCCTCCGAAGTGACGTAGCTACCACAGTCAACACTTCGCTTTAAAGTTTGGTGGGAAACAGTAGCACTGTGTACAAACGCACGTGTTGACCCTGAGTTTACTTAATATTCATCGGCGTTAATGACTGATTCTCGTTTTTGGCTGAATGTCACTGTTTCCTTCTACATGATTTATCAAACACCTTCCTTTTCCCACCAAGAGGCAAACACTTCAATCCTGTTCAAGGCTACAAGGAAAATACAAACTCTGTCCAAAACACTGCTACACACACACACACACACACAGAAGCTGAAAGTTTCCTGCCTATCACTGCACCATCTTGAGCTAACATGAGTGTCTTTCCTGAGAGGAATACGATTATTTCCTCCCTATAACGCCTTAACAGACCTCACCACCCCCCCCTTTTCCCACACTCTCTCTAGTGAAATTTCATATTGAAAAAAAAAAACTCCACAATATACAAACAACTCAAACAAACACAACATTCTCTTTCTAAAATTCAAAACTCAAATCAGTTAACTGGTCACTATAATTATTGTTTACCAGACAAACAGAAAAATGAAACATTTTCTATTGCTTTTACCGACAAATTTAATTAAACATTAAACATTACAGATGAACTCACTTGGATGTTTATTCATGCAACTCATATTTCTGCAGGACAGAGTCATGCTAAACTTGATAACATTAACAAGTAGCAGGAAGTTCGAGTATCTGCAATTTTTTTTTTTTTTATTGCACACACTATCTCTGCCTCTCTCTGCCGTGTGTCCATTCCTAAATTAATTCGTTAAATTAATTAATCTCCATGTTCAGGTATAAATTGTGCCAGATCCAATCATACTGATCAATGTGCAAGAACACGACAAGATAACCAGAGACAGCCCTGCTAGCACGACAGACATGGCCACATTTGGTCTAATTGATAAGATTACTGTCACCTCACTCCACCCACTAGTGCACTGAAAATAAATCGATGTTACGCAACAAGCCGTACATCCGTCTCTGAGCTTATCTGAAACAATGGAAAGTTGTCGGTCACTCAGAGGAGTTCATTTCTCAGTCAGTTCTGGTTTCCACTCCAGTGTGTCGTCTCCTCTCATGCTTTGTCCTCTGTTTTTCTTTTCTTGGCTACCCGCTTGCTTCCAAAGCTAGTGTAGAAATCTAGGTTACTATTTTGGAAAATCACTATAATTTCTCGTGAATTTAATTTTGTCTAGTGTCCGACATATTTCACACGTGTAACAAAGTAGTTTTTTTATACATTCCAAACTGTGTGTGTGAAACTAAATTTATGTTATTACAGTCAGAAAATAGTTCTGTCCCACATCTGTAGTCACTCTGTTCTCTATAGTAACTACGATAGAACAACAAACTCAGACAATAGAAGCTCGGACTCTAGGTAAACAGCCTCTCATAACTAGATAAGACGAAAAACATGACGATATTTATCAGCTATGCATCCAGCTCTTTTGAGTCCTACTGTCCATTAATCAAAGTGAAAAAAATACATGATCATAATTACACCAGGAAGAGCAATGTTGACTGATGGTTAAAATTGAAAACATTAAATAAACATCTATTTTAATCTTCCTATAAACATTATTGCAGCTATTAGCGTCACATTTAGGTTTTTGTAATTGCATGGTAACATGGTAACACCTGGGTGTTAAGAAAAGTAACTCAAACAATCCTGAACCATTACAATATTGTCGGAAAAATACTGCAGTAATGTGACGTTTATACTGCCTTTGAGCTCTGAAGCCAAAACCATTGATTCATGGCAGCTGAACACAAATTACAGTGGTGCAAAAATACTGATGTGTGCACATTTAAAGGTCTATTTATAATGAAATACAGTATCAGAAGGTTTCACTGACTGACCCAGCACTAGGTGGTGTGTTTTTATGTCAAATGAGGTCGACTTTATGAGAGCACTTTACGACTACTTTACGACACACTACTTGTACAGTCCTCTTACCCTCTTAGAGATCTGGATGTCCAGCATGAAGAAGTGCACGTGTTTCTCTCCTTTGTTTAGAACCAGCTTGTTGGTAACGACTGCCACCAGCATGGCGGTGCAGGCTACACCCTAGGACCCAACAGACAGACACACACAGCATGAGTATCGATGTACAGTCACCATATCTGTCTGAGCAAGTCAACACTGATCCTTCGCCATGCTGGGGTCTACAAGTAGATCTAGATCCAAACGAGTGAATGTGACCGCGCCGTACTCTCCAGGGGAAAGCACTTATTCAGTTAGCTGCATGTTGCTCTTCATACCTCATATGGTTTCATCCAATAAATCACAGTTATATTTATGCAGTGAACCTAATGGTTAAACACAGGCTTCTGTGGCGCAGCTGTAACAGTGCGGCTTTTCCTCTTGGAATAGCTGTTTGCTATTGCTGGATGGAGAGTGACCGCGAGTCTTCAGTTGGGCCACGGGGCCAATTACATGTGCGCAGTCACACGGATAAACACATCACAAGACACGCAGACAAAACAGTGGACTGAACCTGTCATCACCGCGGATAATGACACATGATTACTGGTCTTTACCTGTTTGTCCTCTTTGCAGCTTGCATTAGAAGGAGAGAGAGGGGAGAGAGACATTGAGACAAAATGAGGGATTGAGAAAATAAAAACAAAAATGAACAAAGCTCATTTCCTAAAAATATATTTTTTATTTTCGACATTATCAGTCACATAATATCTATTTTTATTCTCCCTCGGAAACCTGGGAGACACGGACTGTTTCCTTGGACTGGTTTTCACCCAGTGATGTGATGTAAACAGTGTTGTCAACCACAGAGCACAGCTGCAAACTCAGTTACAGCAGGAGTGGAACAAAACTGCTGACCGACAAGGCTCTGAGCCCTGTTACAGGTGCAAATATCAGCCCAGACATCGGCTCGTGGACGTGCCCAGATTTCCTGGGAGTAGAAAATTTATTATTTTCCAAATTATGGGCACAGGTTGGCACAACATCGTGATGTAGTAGCCAAAAGCAATAAACTACCTAAAAATGAATACGGTGGAAAGTTTTCCCTTTTAAGGATGTGCGGGGTATAGGCTAAAGTTGGACGGAGACACAGAGGAAAGAGACTGCTTTCCACTTTGTCCAAGGGTTGTCTTCACCCCAGCTGTGTCCACATCCACTTTTACAACTGTAGTTTTCAACAACATGTTCCAGAGCTTCAAGGTAGTTTCGCTTTCAGCTGAAATACACAGGAAGTACTCTCACTTCATGTGTTCAATGTGGCGCTGTGGCTTAGCGCATCTAGTAAACAGGAGATCCTGGGTTCAAATCCCAGCAGTGCCTTCATGGGTGTCCCCTCACAGGATTGCCGGTTTGAATCCATTCCATAGCAGGGATTCTGTAGATTGAAGTACCACACTCCCCAAGTACTCCATGTTACTTGATGAATGAATCAAATGCAGAAGACAACTAACTCAAACTAAACTAAAACTCTCCCTGGTTTCACAGGCAACTAATTATAACTAATTCTATGTGTGTTACTTATTTTAAATCTTGTTTGTGCCTTTTCTTGAATTTCTTTTCTGCTGAGTACATCAGTGTTAACTAAAGAGGACCAGGTGTCACACTAAGTAAGTAAATTTAATCTAGAAAATCATTACTTTTTTATATATATACTTTTGCCACATTTTTCATTTAGTGGCTTTTTCCATGTAGTTCATGTAGAATCTAATCCCTGAAGGAGACACAGTATTTTTACATTTATGTTGAAGAAGAGTGAGCAGGAACATGTCACCCTGTAATGGATGTGTGTGTAGGATGTTGAGCTCCAACCACATGTTCACAGTTTTCCTGCTTCTGTGTTTTCATGTACTGTATGTTCCTAAACCAGAGCCTGAAAGGAAAAGAGAAGCTTCATGTGGAGCACCACCACCGGGGTGTGCAGTTGGACAAATGTGTCCAAGTGGAATAAAGAGTGGTAGTCCTGGACTGACCTTTGAAAAAATGAAACAGGAAAGAGAACTGTCGCAATGGAAAACAACTGAAATGCATTGTGGGAAAAACTACAACCACAAAGGTTTATACAGTACAGACCAAATCAGATTGAAAATTAGAAAAAAAGCCTCTACAATAGAATAGAAAGTTCCTGGACAGAGAAATTCAGAAAAGCAGAACTGCAGAGAGGAATAGTTTAATTTAAAAAAAGATCAAATAATATGGGATAAAGAAAATTAGTGCACGGACAAGCTAGTGAGGCAGACAGTGAAAGTTAGATGATAAAACTGCTAAGGTGTTTCATTACGCTAATACGACAAACTGTGTGAAATGCTTACTATCTTACTATCTAGAACTCAACTGCTTTTCAAACATGTACATTAGGTTTTTTTTTAAATAATCAAGCCAACCTAGTTACCATGACTCCAGTGAAGAGACACACCACCTTTCCACAGCTGGTGGTGGGGGCTACATCTCCATAGCCCACTGTGAGGAAGGTGATGGCTATGAGCCACAGAGAGGTGTCGATGTAACCTGTTGCTGCTTGGGTCTGTCTGCGGGGAGGAGAAAAAAAAAGTGTGTTAAGAACGACAAAGCCTGGTCATAAGGATTCTAAAAAGGTCAAAAGGTTAAACAAAATAAGGCAAAAAGTCAAAGGAGTTAGCAAAACAAACTTGTCAATTTAATTTAATAATTCTGGTCTAGTTTGGATAAAAATACAAAAATAAGAAACCATAAGTTTAAGTAAATACAGTCCAATGGTTTCCAAAATGAGGGACGGGTCCCCCTCGAGGTGTAAGGGCTATCGTAGTGCGCGGAGCGTAACAAGGCAAATTAATTTTAATAATATAGTTTCTTTATTTGTGGCACAATTTCTTTTCTTTTTTTTACTGAGAACTGCAGTCTAGTAGGAATGATAGTGTTTTGAATAAAATTCTATGGAGGGATGGTCAATAGCCCCCACTATCTGCAAAAGGGGCATACTGCAGAAAGTAGTTCTGGAAGCACTGATATGGTCTCTGAAATTAACCAAAGGCCGGTGTCCAAGAAAAAAAAAGATGTAAATGAAACCATTGATCCAGAAGCGCCAATGTTCCGCAGATATTTGAGCCCAAGCAGAAAGTTCTTGGAAGAAAACACACAGAAAGGTCACTTTGAGTATTGTGTGACGGCTGACCTCTCTGAGGACAAATGTTAACGTTCACTTTCACTTTTCACTTCAGATGTGAACGTTGACAGTAATGACAGTAAAAAGCTTGGTCACTTCATCAGCCGTCAATCACAGGATCTTTGACCAGGTGAAACAAATGAGACATTTGAAAACTGAAGGCAAAAGGTTCAAAATGACCTTAAACAGCAGAAAAGACTGCGGAGGATCAGCCTGACACTGAGCTGGCCCACACTGAAAGGAAAACTCCTACGAGTGACAACATATAATATGATCATGAAATTGGTTATTGGAAATACATTTTTTAACGGGAAACTTAAATTGACCATCAAAGATTGTGTGTGTGTGTGTGCATGTGTGTGTATATGCCCAGTAATCCCCAATGGAGACAAAAGCCAGAGTCACAGGAAGGGACTTTTTAGTTACTTCCATCAGGACTACAGTTACAGAACACAGCTTCAGATCTTGATGCCATGACAAAAACTTTTAACATTTGTTTGTGTGATGATTATAGTTTGTTTAAGTTGACCTACCTGTCTTGATACATTTGAGATCCACAAACAAAGGCAGTATTTTAATTAAGGTCATTTACTGCTACTATGGAAAGTGACACACACCATTTAGCACTAATTGCTGTGTGTACTACTACAGTATACCGTATACCATGTGTAAACACAAGAAAGAAGAAACACAACAAGAAAGGCTTTGTAATGTTTTTAATAAACATTATAAGTTAATGTATATTAGTGGTTGAATAAATACTTCAGTATTTTGTTACTAAGTATTACTGTTAAAAGTATTGTCAAATTCATTGTTACTCCAATCCTGTTGAATGTGCTGGAGGCTGAGAAAAGGAGTGAAGGAGCTATGCTAACTAGCTAAGGGTAGCTAACAAGCTAAGGCTCGTTTAGTTCATGTCCTTTAGGTAATACTGCAGTATTAGGTAGTAGTAGTAGTAGTAATGTCTAGTAACAGTATTAGGTAGTAGTAGTAGTAGTAGTAATGTCTAGTTCCCTGGGTTGCCTTATGATTTTAGTCTTTTCAGTGTCAGTAGTTCTCTGTTTATTTTTCTGTCTCACCCTCTGTTTCTTCTCCAGGTGCTCCACAGTCCTCACCCTTCCCTGTGTGTCCATGATTACCTGACCTCACCTTCTGTGTCTCCCTCCACGGTGATCGTCTAACCCTCCCCACCTGAGTCTGGTTAACTCCTGTCTGTTCATATCACCCCTCTCTTACCCTCTTTAACTGCTCATTTGAAGGTGACGTTTTGTCTGATCCAGTCTTTTCTCCAGTTTATTCCCAGTGACTTCTGTTCATGTGGACTTCAAATGTCTAAGCCTGTCCTCCCTTCGTGTCTCTCAGTCTGTCTTGTCAGGCAGCTCTAACATGAATGAAGTAATAATAAGGTCATCGCCAAATTGTTTTCTACATATATTCTATGCAATCTTTAAAAATGTATGCAAAAATGGTGTATGCTGTAAAAATGACAACTTATTCATACATTTTGCACTGTTTTGTTTGTACTTTTTATGATCATCAGCACACAACACAGGAAGAAAAATGTAAAACCCAAACATTAGGTGAGGCTGAAACAGGGACCAAGTTCCTGTGACGGTTGTGACAACTAATAACTGTAATATTGTGTACTGGTCAACATCACCCATAGTAGTATTTGTTAAAGTATTTGTTCCTACCTCTCACACAGAGTTAGCATCCACGATGCCGTTAGCCAGAAGAAGAGGATGAAGACCAGGAGCGCGCGTGTGGGGTGTGTGTTCATCAGAACCTTGAGAACAAAGCGGAAGGTGAAGTTGACGTTGTTGAGCGACCCGATGCTCCTGTATGAGGCACTGAGCAGCACTTTACTGTGCAGGAGGATGGCTCTGTGCACCAGGTACAAACGTAGGAACATGAGCACGGACAACAGGAGCTCCACGTTCAACAGAGAGCTGTTCTGGTTGTTGGTGGCGCAGAGCGGAGCTGAGGAAGACGAGTTGACTTGGAGGCCCAGCTCCCAGTATGTGCCAATAGGGTGGATGGAGCAAACCAGCAGTTCCAGAGTGATCACGAGAAACCTGTGACTGGTCATGGCAATTCGCCAGTCCACCTGGTGGTGGTCGTTGATGAAGAGCTGAAAGACAAAACCGTAGGAAAAAGAAAAAAAAAAAAGAAAAATATATAATATTTACCTTCATTACAGAAAAATCTGTCTATCTATCTATCTCTACCATACCATTTTAACAGAATACATTTATGGCAAAGTTCCTGTCATATTTGTAAAATATGTGTGTCAGAAAAAGTGCCTGAACAATAGTTCACAGTTTTTCCACTTAAGGAACAAACAATAAACCCGGACACGTCTGTAGTCTGTCAGAGGTCACGGTTCAAGGACATATGTATGGACAGTCAAACTCACCCTAATGTCCTTGTAGTGGAAAGCTATAATGAGGACGATGAGACACACTGTGGACAGGGTGATGGAACAGTTGACGATTAAGGCAATGTTTGTGCCCTGGGAAGAAAACATAAAAGAGAGGGCATTAAAACAAAGTCAAGGTGTAGACGTAAGAGGAGTACAGTCACAACAGAAGGTCATCAGATGGTGCAGCTTTATATTGACAATCACACACTACACTCCGTCTTCTTATTTCATTTCATTCAATGGTCACTGAAAGAATTTACTAGTTTTTCCTTCCAGTAAAATTGATGTATTTGTCCTCTGTAACTGGCCTGTCCAACAGAGATGAGACTGCACACTGCCAGGACAGATGCACATGTTTCCCACCTAGGAATAGCTGTGCTGTCAACAGGGCCAAGCCTGAAACCCGACTATTTTCAATGGACAAAAATTACTTTTTCCATCTGCGTTGTGCCCAGCCACTGCGCTTAGTCCTGACAGTGTGTGCTTTAAAATCATATATTTCAAATTTCTCTGACCATATATCAGAGGGAAATGATTGAAAAAAAAAAGTCTAATGTTTTGTTTTTTCAATCACCAGAGTGCTAAAAATGTATTGAAAACATTAATTTTCTGGCCGTTATTGTGTGGCTAATTTTGGTCAAGTGATCTAATATCATCTATCCATCTCCTTCTGTGCGTCAACCTTTGGCCCACAGGCCTGACCCAGGAGGGAATTTAGAGTGACATTTAATAGAAGACATTAACTGCATTTTTTTTTTAATTTCTTAAGCTAAAAGCTCAATTGCACTCTTAAAAGATTAATGACATGCAGTAACTCAGTTCAAGTGGTCATTTTTACACAGATGTGGAAAGTTATACTCTTTCAAAATCATTTTAATTATTTCCAATGGACATAAAGTGCTTTTTCCATCTGTAACAGATCCAGTCACTGTGTTTAGTCCTAACAGCGTGTGCTTTAGAGACATATATTTCAATTTTCTATGATCATATATCAAAAGATGAAAATGCTGAAACAGAAAAATGGCCGTCTCTGTTTTTGTTTTTTATAATCTCCACAGTTCATAGTGTTATTAAGACATTCATTTTCTCTGTGTTTAATTCTGCAGTGCACATAAAAAAGTTCACACATCTGTGAAAAATGGTTTTTAGATCCATCCATCCATTTAGCAATTCACAGATGTCTAACATGCAGTCCACGGACCCAAAGAAGCCCAGTAGAATGTCTAATTTGGCCCCTGATGAGAAATTTTGTTTAAAACTTTTTTTTTATATTACGTATATTTTTTTTTATTTAAGATGTTAGCTGCAGTTCTTTCAGAATTGTTTCATGTTATGTTTATGGTACGTGGAAAACCATCGCAAAAAGTTATATCGGGTCTCCCAGGGAAACGTGTTCTGTTGTCTGATGAGAGCAGTTTGTGGAAATGTGGTCATTTGGACTGACTGTTGTCGACGTAAAACCTACAGGTGTGTGTATTATTCACTGATTAAATGACAAAAAACTGTTTTACGGCGATGTGCAGTTACACACTTTATTTCCTGATTTTCCTTCATTTTATCCTCTGCTCTCAAAAGCACAGTGAGCTTTTTTTCCCTCAGAGTGAAAATGTGTCAGAGATTTCCTTTCCTTAAAGATGTAATGGAACTCATTTTTATTGAAGCCGCTGCTGTTACGTTAAAACAACACTGCGGGATTTTTACGTGTCTCCAGATAGACCTTTGTTACGACTTTACAGAAGTGAGAGCCTAATGGAAGTGGAAATGCTGATTCTGTAATGATGTACAACAGCTCTCCTGGAGGAACAGCAGTGACTGTAATGAAAAGCTTTCAACTCCTGGGAACAGGCAGCAGGAGACGGCGATCAACGCAACACCGTGACTTTTACACCAATGACAACAATATGTTCAGTTAACAAACAGAAACGAGCTCAAACGATCGCTTTCATCCCAGCAGGTTAGACCGACACATTACAGCAGTTGTAAATAATGCAACGTCAGTGAAAGAAGTTCTTGGAAAGTGCGGTCTTAATGTTGCTTACAGTTAAAAGGATAATTACAAACTTTTAAGGTTGAGGAAACTGAGGAAACTGGAGCCTTTAGGTGGTGAGATGTGACGTCCTTTGGCAAGTCGGCTCCTTTTCCAGGTTCTCCTGTAGCATCTACATCATGGCTGTTTTTAAGACCCCACAGAAGGTCACCACTTTCAGCACACAACAGAAACAGAAACTCTGCTCCTCCTCCGTACTGAGGATGTTTCTGAACTGAATGTCATGTTGAAAACCACATGATATTAGAAACCTGCTGACTTCTGGACCTTCCTGGCCCTGGAGTGACCTTTATGGTTTGAAACATATGGGAAAAAACAACTGAGAAAAAACTAGCACGTTTTCATTATTACTGATCCTACGTGACTATGTGACTTCTGCTTTTTACCGATCACCATAGTCAGCAGGGGACAGCTTACCAAGTTTTCATTATTACTGATCCTACGCGACTATGTGACTTCTGCTTTTTACCCATCACCATAGTCAGCAGGGGACAGCTTAGGCCCCTGCGGAGCAGTGTGTGGGGACGGTGCCATGTTCAGAGCACCTCTGTAGCAACTTGTCAGCTGGTGGACTCGAACCTGAAACCTTCCAGACTCAAGTCCGCGTCATTAACCACAAATCCACCACTTTTACTAAAGCTGTCACTACAGGTGTTTGAGGGGGAAGTGATATCACATAAAAAGTTTAAAAATACACAAGGAACAGAAACTTTGTGTTTTTTCATAATTTGCATGGTACATTTTTTTGGTACCTGTCTAACTTACTGTAATGGTTACTCCACAGGTTACATTTTTACATTTTAGTAGTTTGTAGTAGTAGTATGTAAAGGATCTGGAAAACTTTAGCTGTCCTGATCCAGTGACCTCTTTATTTTTGTTGTGTGTTCATTTACATGTTTGTATCAGTTTTCAGTCTATTTTGCACATGGACTACATGCTGCTGAAACACAACATGCTGCTTTTTTGGGATGTCTAGCCTCATAGCAGCCGAGGAAACAATATTTGTACAAAACACGTTGTCACGTTGGTCGTGTGAATAAAAAAACCTCTTGTTTCTAAACCTCGAAACTCTGTCTTTTGTGGGTGGTTTTCCAAAAAAACGCTATTTAAGATGCACATCGTCACCTACTTCCCTGCAAATACAGTTCACTAAATGTTTCATTTTCAAACCCAAACTTAGTAAGAAAATAAAACGGGGCCTTTTTCCTTTCAATATTAGATCAATTAAAGTAAAACATGTCACAAACCCTGGGCTGCCAGGTTCAGCTTGATCAGAAAATCCTTGTTATTCCAAACACCACGTTTCTACTGAGACCATAGACTAAAAAGTGTCGTCATAGTCACATATTAGTGAATAAAATCCAATGGCAGACATGAAATCCATGATCATGTCCAAACACCAGGAAGTAATATTTTAGATTTTAATTCCCGGACATCACGCTAAGTGAATGTTCTTTTGTTACGCCACCTGGCCGAGTCATCAAAGTAGCAGAATAGGGAACACAAACTGTAGTTGCATCCAGGTTAAAGTGCATATTCATGGACCTGGTCCAGCCATGGCCGTAGAGACAAAGAAGCTTCTAGACTGGTCGTGCAAACGCTCTAATTATACACTAAATGATGTGGAAAGATAGCCTGAAGTACTGTGAGTAATCTTGCTGCAGGGCAGGAGGTGAAATGTGGAAAATGTTCCATAAATAGTCCTGTTTTCGTGCATAACCATGAAGAGGTATGCTTAAAACATAACTGTGTAGACTGGCATGAGTTCTGAGGGGGATGATTGGAAACACCCCGCCACTCAATTTAGCTGTTTAAACACAATAGTGTAATGGAGTTTGACATCATGAACCAATCCAAAGACACTGTGTTTTCTCTCAGGAGCCCAAATGTCACTACCGCCCAGCGTCAAAGCTGCCATCACACGAACATCACGTTACGCTCACAGATGAATGTTGCCGATTGTATTATAAACTTTGTTGAAAAGAGCAAAGCATTCTTTCCAAAATATTACACTTAAACTGCAGCACAAAGCTTTTCCAGCGCATCAGCATTTCCATGCTACGGCAGCCACGGCCTCTTGTTAGGACTGGACAGACAACACCTGCTCCTGGTTCACATTTGTAAACTGGATTAGTGTTGTAGCCGTCCTGCCAGCGCTGGTAATTTTACAACCATGTCTGTCCAGGTCCAAGTCTCTCTGTAACCGCATCAGGCACGAACTCTGAAGGCCAGGCCATTTTTCCATAGGTTTCTACAAAAGATTGCGAGTTAGAAAAGTGGGTCTCTTTGACACTGTAATCAATCACTGGCCTCACAGCATGAAGGTGGTCTGATGTTTTGTGGCACGCATGAGAACTTTTTTCCACATGTGGAACTGCCGTGTGCTGTAGGAAGTCCGGGGGAGTTAATAATTTGTTGATTGTGTGGCCTGGCATTGTTATCCACTGAGATCTGCATGGTAATGTCATGAGGCTGCGCTACCAAACAGTGTGTCTGGAAATGAACTCAGTAATCATGGGGTCACGGGGGGTCAAAGCCCAGGTGCAGATTTGGCTGTTGATCCGCATGGGTCCTGCGCTGTCTACTAATCATGTTGTTATGACAACGAATACAGTCAGTTGCTGAACCAATTATGGTCATTTTAGTTACCATATAAGTCGCAGCTGAAAGACAACAGGATGTGGAGTTTTTTTCTGTCTCAGACATAAAAAAAAGAAGATAAAACCAGGTTTAAATGCCACTACCCGGCAGAAGAGCTTGTACACGAAGGCTGTAAATATGTGTGTAGTTGTCACGTGTGGGCATTGACATGGCAGGAAGCAGGCAGGACCCAAATGCAGGACTGATGCAGGTAGTTTATTTCAAAACTCAAAATTCCAAAAACTAGGACAGAAGCATACGCAAAGTCAAGCAGAGCTGAGAACAGCTACAACAAACTGCTCAACACAACGCTGGCACAAACTATAGCGAACACACAAAGACAGCAATCACACACATCGATCCCACAAGGCCAGAGTGAGGGAGAGAGGTGTATATATACAAGCAGCACCAGGTGACACGAGTGAGGCTAATTACAGACACAGGTGCGTGTGCTAACAGATTACCCCACACAGCAGACAGCAGGAACAGGAAACAGGCAGACCTGACAGTAGTACTGGAGGGACATTTTAACTGCAGTGCTGTACAAATGCAGGGAAAGTTTTAATTTTCAAAATGAAACTGGAACTAGTGACTGTCCAAACCTTCGGACAAATGAGCACAGACTTCCAGAATGTCATAAAAATGTTTTAAATTAAAATTTAATTTAAATCTATCTCAACGTTTTAATTCAGTCAATGTTTCCCAGTCACTGAAAATGGTTCACAGGAAGGTGTTGTGTTCAACATCAGTTAAGCCGCCCTCTGTTCATATTGTTTGTTTTGCATTTGTTTCACTTCTGGGTCGACGACAGTGTGAACGCGCTCTCATTTGCATGTGACATAATTTTAGCAGAGAACGTAATTGTGTCTTTTTGCTTGCATGCATGCGTGTGAACGCAATTCCACCGTTAAAAGCGGTAACATACTGTTCTCTTTCTTCATTTCATATGTACCAGTGGAAAACAGAGTCTGATCCAGTAATTTTAGACAAAAATCCATTAGCATAGTTAACTCATCTATGCTTAAAATGATAAAATGGTACTGCACATGTAAGGATTTCAACTTTTTGGTTTGTTTTCAGGACTTGGCATATTTAAGTTTTCTCAAGTTGTTTTTGGAGGTGTACAGCTCCATAATCATGGAACCTGAGCTCTAAAACAACCTGGCCAGTGTTCCTGAATGACAGCTCATCTTATACTGACCTGACACAGATGTAGTTAGGGAGGTTAAGGAATAACAGCATGGTGAAAACTCTAACACAAAAGACTTTTCTTTTCTTGATTGAATCCTATTTAATCAGATTAATAACTCAGATTTATACATAAATCACAAGCGAGTTCATATAAAAGATGCTTTTGGAGATATTATAGTAATTATCTCGACACCTTTAACCTGTTCTTCTCCTCCTCACACCTGTGTTCTTTTTCAGGTGCAGCGTGAAAAGAAGACGCTGTGGCTCTGACCTTTCATCTTGTTATGTTCAGCACATTAACAATATTCACATCAACATCATTCACTACTGGGGAATGAGCTGGTGACCTTCTTGCTGTCAGGCAGAAGCACTAACCACTGGTGGTATTGTTAATGCAAAATCATCTTATTTCAATATTTTCTCTGTTTTATATAAGGTAATATTACTAAGTCACACTTGTAAGTGTTTTTTATATATATATTTAAAAATCTTATAAATAAAGGGAACCTGAATGGACGACTCGTGTTTTTACCTTCGGCACCACAAAGCTGTTTTGCGGCAGGTCCCACAAACAGCTTGTAGCGGCCCTGTTCGTGGTAAACAAACATTTCTATCCATTGATTTTTGTTTCTGCTCAACTGAGACACCGTCACAGCCGGCGGTGCTGCATCTCATCTCCAAGCTCGTGTGAAGTACTTCTACACTGACTGGACTACTTTCAACACAAATACAAAGTAGTAAAGATAATAGTTAACGACGACATACCGGTTTGTAAACATAGGGACATATCTCTGCGTGGATGATCATGAGAAGAATCCCCAGCAGAGCCGTGCCCAGAGCCAGTGCGCACAGGCGCTTCTTATCCTCCAGTAACACCTTTCTGTCCCGCAGTCTGTACAGGTAATCTCCTTCCGTGGTTGCCCGTTTGCCGGTGATTGACAGGGGCATCGATACTTCAGCGGATCCCGCGACCCGTCCGTCACACTCCACTTTAGAGCCTGTCATCATCTCCATCTGCAGGGCGCAGACGAGGCGACCGCCGCCTGTCCCTGTCTCCGCTGCTGCGTTCACTGTCTGTCCACCCTCGACTCTGCTTCGTTCCCAGCTGGTAGACGGCATGGCCCGATGTTAGGGCATGATAACTGTGTGTGTGTGTGTGTTATCCCATCACTCCAACACTCCAGCAGACCTGAGTTGCGTCTTTACGCGCACGGCTGCCTCCGACGAGCGCGCTCTCATTTGCATGCGATATAATTTTAGCAGAGGACGTAATTGTGTCCGCGTGGGGGCGTGTGTGTGTGTGTGCAAGAGAGAGTGCGCGTACGTGCATGTGAACGCAATTCTACCGTTTTAAGAGCGGTAACATACTGTTCTCTTGTAATTTTCTTTATTGATTTGATTCAGTCTGATCAGATTTAGAACGATTGGCTGGACCACGGAGAAAACACTGGTTTTAATTTGACTTATCTGGAAACAAGATCAAGCCACGGATCATCGTTTGTTCTCTGTGAAATATTCAAACCACAGTTCGAAAGTTTGAATTTCCGTTCAAACTAAAAAGTTTGATACTAAAATTAATGTATTTCTCAATGTTCGACAAAACAACGGATGCAGTGACCTCTTGTGGTTGTTGTTCGTCTGTCAGACTGGTTCCTGACATACTATACTGTTTCCACTCTACAAAACAATTTATTTTGTCAATCTACCTTTATACTCAAAGTAATAGCAAATTAAGGATTTATAGACTTGATATTGTCAGAAAAAAAAAAGTTTTTTTTTCAAAGCCATTTGACCTGAAATGTCTGACACCAGCTGAAAGTTTAAAAACATTTAAGTTTTATTCTATCACAATATAGACTCAGTATGTGTAGTTATCAACTACTATATTTACACAAAAAAACAGACAACTCTAATTTATGGTTTCACATCATTTAATGTGCTGCAGTAAAAAAGTAAATGGCAGAAGATGTGAACAAGCAAATACATTGTAAAGTTGCACGGGCAATAAAATACATATGCACTCAAATAATAAAACACTCACTGGTCCCATAATCTTTAAGTGAAATGTGTCTGTATCCAAGACAGAGCAGTAGCAGAGTCCATGTTAATATTTACACAAAAAACAAACAAAAACGTTACAATGACTTATTTCATATACAAGCCATATACTAGATCAGAGCAGCGGGCACATAAAGCGCGTGCTGTAAGCTGGTCAGTCTTTTGAAGTTTGCAGGAGCTACCATTAAGTTTTGGGGGGAAAAAAGCGAGCGATTTTTATGCATTAGCTGTGAGTGTGCGCCATCTACAGGTTGCCGAATAAATTACAACGTTAACAAAGTGAGTCTGTGTGTGGTGCGAAAATCCTCTAATTATTTACAAGCACTTTAGTAAAAATATTTTCTAAATATACAGATGTATTCACTGTAGCAAAGAGAGGTTAAAACCCTGAATTACATTTTAACCTGATCAGCAGTAAAGGCCAGAGAAGTGAGAAACAAAATGAGAGAACACCTGAACAGACATGTTTTTGTTTTTTCTTTTGGGGGGGGGGGGGGTTGGCATTGTGAGCATATTGCTGAGAGTCCCTGAGTTAGTCCAAGCACCCGGTGACTTAAGTCATTCTGAACATTACATTACAGTACATGAAAGAACAGCTGTGCAGAGTTTACAGATAAAGATAATCATTCAAGTGGTGTCTCTGTGCTATGTACAGTCTTCATTAATCTGGATTTAAAATAGAAACAGAAAAAAAAGATAAAGGTTGTGCAAAGAATAACTTCTGGCTACCGGGTGTTTGGTTTTTTTTGACAGAACTCAAGAGAATAGAAAGTGGCTCATTTTTATTCTTCACCAAGTTTCTTGGTGGTCTAACCTTTCACGACCCCCCACGGCTGCAGAGTGGCCTGAGGCAGAATGAACTGTGGAGACGGCTGCGGCAAGATGTAGTAGCTCAGTACTTGCTGCTGCTGTGAAGAAGGTGGTGGAGGAGGAGGATGAGGATGAGCTGTAGGTGCACACACCGTAGTGAGGAACACTGGCGCCGCCTTCTTGTACTGAGGCCACACTGGGCCAGGGTAGCAGTAGTACTGCAGGCAAGCAGGCACCTGGAAACACGAGAGATTATCAGAGGTGATGGAGACCTTCCCGCATGGGCGGAGGCCCATGTTCTCGAACGTTCTGTTAACTGCTGAGACTTTGTGGCACTTGAGACAATGTGTCACTGCTGTATATTGATTGAAAAGGGTTTGCTACACATTTTGCTAAAAAAACAAAAAAAAACAAAAAAAAACAAGACGGTAGTTTTAGCAGCTGTGGCCAAGATGATATCACCAGTTGTCAACACAAAGGGTTTCTTTGTTTTTTTTAACGCTGATTTAATTCTGAACACATTGTTTTACACAATATTAAAGTGTCTGCTGTTGTTTTTCCAGCCGTAAAGATTTCAAACAGCAATGTCTACAGTTACATAAACAACCATTCCAATAAAATGCTCTATGTACTTAGGAACAAAAAAAACATTTACCAAATTCCTTGTATATTTGGCTTTCTTCAGCGCTTTCTCGAATCGCTTCCTAACCCTGGGAATCATGGTTATCGGGTTGTGGTCGCTCTGTGCTGCGTCCGTCTGAACATCCTCCTTCTTCTGCTCTCCAGCGCTCGCTGCCTTGCCATCCTTAGACGTCTCCTCCTCCGTGTCACTTGATGCAGCAGAGCCGCAATCTGAGGACGTAGCAGAGTGGTAATCTGACGTTTCCAGGTTGGTCACGTCCACCGAGGGGTCATCCCGTGCCCCTTTAATGCCTTCCTCAACATGTTCCTCTTCCTCATCATCCTGGTTAAAAGTGGCGATGGTGAAGGGCCGGCTGTTCTCTCCAGATCTGTGGAAAAAAATAACATATGTAACAAAAGACAACACTCGCTGATTGACCAAATAAAACGATCACATTTGGGAAAGTTACATAAAAGTTAAAATTATTGCTTATTATTAAAAATTAAATCTTTTTTGTGAATGTTATATATTTCACATCCAACAGTGGATTCCTGATGGTGGTGTGTGACAAATGCCTTCTCGTTACTTGAGCATCACAGTCTGTGTCATCCAGTGACTCACCTAGCACACACCTCCAGTGGGTCAATCCACACAGTGACCTCATGTGGCAGACAAAGATCAGCAGGTGTGAGCTCACTCTCCTCACACGCCTTCAGCACCTCCTCATCACAGAGGACTCCATTATTTATTCGGATGCATCTGTGAAGAACAAGATGTTCTTTGTCGTTACACGTGGAGCAACCACTTTGTAGTGCAGTGACAGTGTCAGCCAATAATCAGAAAGTGAAAGGCAAAATGAAAGGTTCAAAAGACATTGTCACGGCCTGCTGTGATGTCAGCTGGACTTTTTCAAAGACACGTGACTGACTGAAGATGACAAAGACATTTTGTTTCAAAAAATCCCAGATTCAGGAGGAAGTAGAGAAAGATGCAGCAAGGTTCTAATGTTTTTTTTTTCAGGACCTCTACCTGTATGCCTGGCCTTTGTTGGGCGACTGAGGATACCAGTGATCATCGAATTTGTTACACAGAAGTTCCTGAAGCTTCTCAGCAAACACTTCAGCCTTGGCCTTGTCGAGCTTTCCACGTGCCAAAGCCAGGCGTTTGAGGAAGTTGACTCCGGCCTTCACCTCTCTTTTCATGACGTCTGCAGAAACAGAAAGAAAAAAAAAACCACATTAGATAAAGCAAAGAAATTTGGAGTTTTTGTGTATCAGAGTGAATGTATTTCTGTACAGTGTAATTTCCTCCTCCAGTGGAATAGCAGGAACAAGGGTGGCAATGATAACAACACTTCCCTGTGCAGCTGCCCTTCAGCTGCCTGTTTCTTTATTACGTTTAGGCAAACTCTCATGCCTGTAAAGGGCAAAGTTTTCACACAGGCAAACAAGATGCAAAAAAAAAAGAAGTGTGTTTTGACATACAAATCCAGTGTACTCTTTGTGCTGCTTATCTTCTGATAGCATGTCTGTTTGGGTTCAGTGCCAATGTCAGCCTGACCGCGAGTGGGAGAGAGGGAGAGACAGACAAAGGCCAAGGAATTTGGCTCTCCAGCATCTTCACACTCTGCTGACACTCCACAAGAGAGAGGGAACCGTGCCTTAAACTTTGTGGCGCAGACACATTTGTTATTGTGGTGTGAAAAAGACCAATATTAACTACACTTGTGTAATTTGTTGTCAAGAGAAAATTACTCCTGTGCCCGGATAAATACGACAACAACCTTTTCTTAAAAGCAGTGGGGAGACAGTGACACATGTCGGAGCACTGTTAGCGGGTGTGCCTGTTGTATGTGTGTGTGTGTGTGTGTGTTTACGAGAACTTCCACACCACTGCGTTATCTTTCATGTTTATCAGCAGCCTTGATGGTCAACTTAGTTATTAAGTGTAAGAAGGGTCGAGATGAGCGTGTTCCTAATGTTTGGGTTTATTCCCCTCCCAGAGTTTGTCACTTTGTTGCTGTGCCTTTTTGGTCATGCAGCAGCAAAGCCTCCCCCTAATGCTGACCTGCAGGATGTCTTTTGCACATCAAAACAGGCCAGACGTGAGCGCAGGTTTTTCTGGTAGGTTTTGCCAGTTTCAGATTGCTGCAGCAAGTGTGAAAAACGCTGAGACAGCCTTGTGCCGACAGTCCTTCTGGCTCACCACAGGAATCCAAAAGAGATAAGATGTGCAAGCTGAGAGAACTCTTGGTGTTAAAACTGTGTGGTGCTTAAGAAGTATGAAAAGATGAAGAGTGCTGCCCAGGAACACATCAACTGACCAACCACCAAACACATGACAACCCACCTATTTTTTAAAAATATTTCACTAAAAACAGTCAAAAAATCAAAATGAAATGAAAACCAATGAATGCAAATACTGGGAATGTCCTTAAGCTTCTAGAAAACATTCAGAAAAAAAGGGTAATTTCGACTTCTATCTTTAATGTTACTGATGAATGTTTGAATAATGAAAGAAACGACTTCTACATACAGTATGATGATCACTATTTTTGTGGAATTTTGGAAAACTGTGTCTTAGATTTCCAAAGTTTTCAGGCATGTTTTTCTAACATTAAGCTTTTTAATCAGCTAATCAGCTTTTTCCTGAGACAATGTCACAGTGATGGTCAACGGTCCAGTCAGCAGGACTTCACACGTCATGGCAAAAATGTTTCCACTGGAAACACTGTTTCCTTTGCCTCCCACATTTCTACCTTTACACTTTGGAAACCCCACAGTAAAGACAAACATGTTACACTGCTTATCTTTTATTAACCTTGTGTCCAGGTGTTCAATGACAGTGTGTTACCCCGACAGAAGACGACAGCCTCAGCGGCCTAAACATGCGAGCCATGTTTTTAAATTAGCTGCATCACGTTGCTACAGTCAAGTTTCTATGGAAACTGTCGAACACAATGTGTTTCTTAACTGTTTACTGAGCATCAACCTTGTTTCTGATCTAATCAGAGGTCCTGCCGTTAAAACAAAAGCTTGCAGTCCTGATGAGCAGAGCGTTGCACTGCAGTGACCTGTTGCCATAATCACAGACTCTGGAAATAACCTTCAATATGTGGAGAAAACAGCAGTCAGTCACGTTGTTCACTTGTTATACTTCACACACACAGACAAAACTAGGACAGCCAGGTGTCACACCACTGTGACCTGCAGATACAAGGCTACATCTCGAGCCAGATTTGTTTGTGTGTCACAGCTCGTCAGTGATAAGTTAGGGGTTTGTTTATGATTAAACTCATGGTATAAAGTTGAATATAAGTCCTTGGACTCCAAACTTTTCATTGTAACCGCTAACAACCGAATAAGCAATTTCCATATTGACAATAACAAAAATTTGTTTGACTTCATGATTCTAACGTCAGACCTAACCTTATCAAGCCTTCCATAATGATGCAGACAGTAGTTGAAAATGTTGGTTGTTCTTGATGATTTTTTTTTAAATAACCATATCAACATTTTTATTTCTATGATAAATTTATATTGACATAAGGAGGAGACATCAAGTAGGTGTGGATTAATTACCTAATGGTTGCAGTTACTTTAAAATGTCTTTGGGAGTTCCTGCCAAAACAAATAGTTTACAATAATTGGCAAATAACTTTAAAGTATGATGAATAAAATAAAAACAAAAGATTACATCTTTTGAAACACATTTTTGAAAACATTCAACAAGTGCATAATCTTATTACAGTTAATAATGAAACAACAACAAAAGGTGATTCACTCAGTCTTGATTAATAATTGAAAAGCAGTCGATTAGTCGTCGCTGCTACAGGTTAGGGAGCTCCGAACAGGAGGGTTAGGGGTAAAACTAAAAAGTTTCTCCTTTGTCTTTGCCTGATACTGGGGCACTTTAAAGTCGTTATCGTCTTAGAGTCAAACAAAGAAACACAGCTGTGCAGGTGAACACGTGTTGGAGATACGATCGACGAGTATAGAACGTAAGAGCCACAGGTTCATCACGACCGCCCTCTGTGTTTTTCTGTTCTGACAAAGGAAACTAAAAGGTTTACGTTGGAAATAACACACACACACTGCAGTGTTTTTCCGAGAGTGCGGAAATACCCGACTGTTGAAAGTCACAAACTTTAGCAGAAACTGAACCTCTGTGGATTTACCCACACCTACAATAAACAAATGAACTTTCAAAGAACATATCACGCTTCAATACCGGTCAAAGAAAGTTATTATTATTATTATTTAAATCTATGTTTATATTTAGTAAAATCAAAGTACACATACTATAAACCAATAAAAACAAGCAACATGTGATTATACATGTATATAAATTTGAATATTAACGTATATGTATATACACGTATATATACATAGATTCATTCATTTAAAAATAAACTCAGTTTAAAGTACTTACAGCTGTGAAGAGTGATCGTTTGTGTTAGAATATCCAACAGTGTACTTACAGCTGTGAAGTGTGATCGTTTGTGTTAGAATATCCAACAATCTTTGTCTTCGTGTCCTTGTCTTCCCTTCGTGTCTCTCCGTCGCCGTGCTTCTCTCCGCTGTGCCGCTGCCTCTGAGGTGTAGCACTTATTTTGGTTTCTACGCTCGGCACATGTTGCTTCCTTGTTCTTGTTCTCCTGTGTTGCTGCAACACACACGCAACGTTACCGTCAGTGTGACTCACTTCCTGGACTTTACTCAGCTGCAGCCGTGACCAACAGCTGAGTGGCTGTCTACACGAGCGGCACCCGCCCCGCCGTAACCATACATGGATAACCGGGGTGGATGCGAGTGTGTGTGGTCTTTCACTCGGTTACGTCCACGGAGCGTTTAATATTACAACATTTGATGTCATACTATGAGGTTCACGCCGTCCATCTTATTGTCAGGAACACTGTCGAAACAGTTGAACGAGGACATTACTAGTGTTCACTGTAGTGGTTGCCTTTTCAGTTTGCGTCAACGCCTTATAAAACACTTAGATTTTATAAAAAGTGTATTAATAAATGATGCTGCCTTACTTGAGGTATTTTCAATTATGAAATATTTTATTTTATCAATGACATGTCTGTCTTTTTCAGCCTCACACTATCCTCCCCTCACTCCAAACCAATCATAGATTTTATATTTACATTTGGACATGGACATCCCTCACCAAATAATCTCCAATATTACATGGTGTTTTAATTTGATGTTTGATTGAAGTTGCATCAGTGTAATTTAAGATAAAATGGCAACCCCAATATTGAGGGCACAATCTTAAATATGTCAGTCGAGACACAGGAAAAAAGTAACTCCAGTTATATAATATACTGTATGACTGAATTATAGTGAGTATTCGAAAAACACACTAATTGGACACTGAATGGACGTGAGTGGAGAACTGTCCCGGTTATACTACGCCCTCACCTTATGACTCCAGTCAAGGATTGAGTGGTGGAAGAGAAATAAACAAAGACTGAAACACTCAAAATGGTTTGTAGACACTCAAGAGAACAGAGAATGAGCCTTATTTGCACACAGACTTTCATTTAAATTCAGTTCTTTTTTTGCAAATAGTAGTCACTCTGCTGGTTTACTGAGGCTCACTGAATACTCTGTCCAATAACTTTGACCAATTCATTATTTCGACATCCTCCTTGTGCCAAAGAAAGCATAGAGGCAAAAATGTTTACAATACGTGTGTTTGTGAGATTAAAGCAATCTGGAGCTACAATCACAATGTTTCATGGGTTTTGGCTTTTTTTTTTTTAATTTAAAGCTCTAAATTTAAAGCTAATTTTAATGAAAGATTACAGCTATGTGGCAAACAAAATATTGGTAGTCCCCAAATATCCAACATGTCATAAATGAAGAGGCATTTAAAGTAAATTACAAGCAGGGTAAAAAAAAGAGATAAATGTAGTATGTAGTTATAAAATATATATTTAAGCATTGTATTATCATAAATATATTAATAAATGGCTCACTTTTAATGCCAGTGCATTAACATGTAAACAGCACTTTGATGTAGAGTATTAAAGTAAGGCTATTTAAAAACGACCTTATATATAGGCAGCATGTATACCAGTAACTCACCATTGATTTTTTTTTTCAGTATTGATGAAATCTTTATATTCATTGCTATTAGATATACAGGGCATTCAATCAAATTAAATATTAATACCAGAAACACAAACAACATAGGAGTAAACCTACACCAAAACTGCACTTAAACATTACACTCATGATTAAAAGACTCTTTACCTCAGTTAAACCCTTTCTGTCCAACGTCGTTGTTTTAACGTTAAGTACACGGAGTGGCCGGTATGCGCTGCATTGTACAGTTTTTCCTTATGTCCACTAGAGGGCAAGCTAGTTTCTTTCCTCAAATATTAATCCCATCACAAGGCACTGTCACTCACTCCCGGCCCTCAAATTGTTATTTATTTCTTTTTCTATATTACTTTACAACAGTGTATTTTCTATCGTGTGGTCCATGTTTGTTTTTCACACATTTGAATCACCGGTTCCTTCTTTAAATATTAAATGCAATTATTTAATGTACTATATCTCCTTTTCATCAATTCATATCCCCCCCCCCCCCCCCCCCCCTATATTTTGATAAATGTGTCCTTTTCAGGTATATCGAGAAATGTGTGTTGGAACTGAGCGATTCTTTTTTTCAGTATTGTCTCAACTGGATGTCACTCCTTTGCCCCAGTTGCCAAGTCAACAGTGAATTATTACTGAGTGTATGAAAGAGGGCTGGAAATAAATAATGACACTAGTACGTTATGATCGATGAAGTAGAAAGAGTTGGAAACTGGGTGCTTTTTGTCTCGATTAGCATTGTTTTGACAGCTGATGAATGCTAAAATAGCTTTGTTTCTGTTTCTCTCTCTGCTTCACTCCTTTGCTCTGGTTGACCTTCTTCCCACTCTATTTCCCTGAGAGGAACCTCTGCAGGCAGTTTTCGCTCATTGCTATTAAACTGATTGTGTTATACTTTCTTTAAACAAGCAATTAATTTTCTGTAGGAGTCACAGGTCAGTCTTTTTTTAACCATCCTGCAGTTATACTTTAAAGCCCTGAGATTTTCTTCAACTGTTTTCCTTTGAAAACAATTGATTTTCCCTGTCAGTGTGTCATTTACAGTATGTTTAAATGTTTGCAAATGATCTACTGCCACAATAGAAACCCATACTGATATCTGCCTATGCCTTTTTTGTATAAACATTATCTCAAATGTCTTGTGTTATTGCAGATAAGTAATGGAAATGAAACCACTTGACCTCGAAATGTGATCGTTCTTTTTCAGCAGCATGGGTCTCTCTGAACGCGCCTGGCAGTATCAATGAAGCCCACACTCATACACCACAAGTAGCTGGCTTCGCCTTTAAAAACATATTGATTTTTCACTTTTGCAGGGAGCTTAATGTGATCGATTGGCCAGGCCCTTTCAAGATCAGCGCCAGTATAAGCATCTCTTCCCCTAACACACATGCCGCCTCTTTCCCCTCAGGTAATGATTGTCCTTGGACTGGGGGAATAGATCGTCCGCATTAAGGCAGTACGGTGTTTCTCATGATATTCAGTCATTCTTCCTCCTTCACAGTCCTTAGTAATGGAACATATTTTAACAAGAGCTTTGACCTTTTTCATCCAAATACTTATCTTCCTCTCTCTCTCTCTATGTCTCACTAAATCAATACCTATTTGTATTTGCAAAGCATTAGGACCAGAGGTCTCATTTTAGATTGAAAAAGTTTCCTTTGGTCAGCTTGCATGAATAAACTTAGAAAAAGTGGAATAATGAACAACTGTGCACCAACATTTTTCTGCTAAAACATCTGACGGATCCCATACAAATGTCTTAATATTTCACCTGAAAGCTGCACTACATGCCTTACTAGTGATCTGAAACTGGTCAGAAGAATCAGAGTGCTCTTTAGGTGCCTTTTAAAAAAATAACTTTAAATTGTTAGGCCAATATTCACAACATGCACTACCATATTTTCACCACTAGGCGGAGAATAAAGGTATCTGAGTTTAAGCACAACGGCAAACTTGTTAGCAGGTGTAATTAGCGGCGAGTGGCGCTGCGTTGGCGTCAGGTGCTTCTAGATGTAAGTGAACCGCTTATCAGCTCACAGCTTTTTTTAGCCTTTTGTGGAAAATAAGCCAATAAAAGTATCTGCTAAATTTGTAGTATATACAACAGAAGAAACTATTGTTCTATTTACCGAGAAAAAAGTAATGGCCGTTGTCATTTAGCATCTTCGATTTGGGGACTGTTGCTAACGGTTATTTTTAAACGTTGCTCAAACAATTGAATATTTTTTATCTGATTAATTTCATTATTCGCCTTGTGAAATGCTTCAAAAAACGAAACAAACAAATTGTAGTTCATGGGTCGAAAATCAACATCCGTTTGTTTTCCTCTACCAACCAAAGTCCAACCAAAATAATTCACATTTGAGAAGCTTTAGAAAAATATCCATTCATATAAACCATAATTTGTAAGAAAATAAATGATAAACTTTGCATTTTTTATTTTATAGATTTAAAAAATGGACTTTGCTGTCTGGTTCCCGAGGTAAGTCCCATTTATTGGTTTTTTCAGTTTAATTTTAACCAGGCCCTAATTGGACCATTCCGCGGTCTTTTACGTTATTTCCCTGTTGTGTTTTAATGAAACCCATAGAAAATGCATCCTGATTTTAGAAATAAAATGGCTAGAATGTATATCTTGGTATATTAGGGATTCTTTCTCCGTTTAGAAACATCCGGAACATTTTCCTTCTAATGGTTTATTTTATAGGAACAATAATTGCTAGTAAGTTGTTATGTTAAATAACCAGTTTAAGTTGTTAAGAACTATTACTTTCTCAGTTGGCCCCCCAAAGAGACAAGGTTTGAGGGATCACCATTGATACAGTTCTGCTCATATTTTCTTTGTAGATAAAACAGCCTTGTACCCACACCCATCTGTTGTTGTTCTTAGCCATAGATGAGATAAATCAGCAAGAAAGCAATCCCTCACTGTATTTTCTTTTGGTCACTGACTTTTTAATTGCCCATATTTCACCTCTTCTCTCTGGTTCTCATGAGTACAGTCTAAACACAAGCGTACGTCAGACCAATAACTATTCCCTAAGTGCACGAGGAATAAACAGTGTCATACAGAAGAGGGTAACACTCAGTAAATAAATATAAGTAAAAGAATACAATATACAAATTAAAGCTTTGAGCATTAAACCATTCAAATTAATAGATGAATAGTCTTGGTTTTACTAAATCTAAACATTTCCTTGTTTGAAGTAACACATGTATCCTTCTCCATTTTATCAGTTGCATTATTAAAATAACACGTAACCCTGTCAGTTTTTGGTATTAAACATTGTTTCTTATATTATATTATTATAATAATATTGGATTAATGCTCTGCAGTAAAGCTTTTCAGCAAAACTTTTTCCCAAGAGAAATTGTCCAGGAAAACTTCCATATTTAAAATACATATAACAGCAGGGAAGCAGAACAATCTTTAATCTCAAGATGTCTCAAGATGCTTTGATCTTGGCAGTTTGTATGTCTTAAATTTTGTTCAACTTTGCAAATGCTGGCATAGCATAAATATTATTGAGCATTTGTTTTGAAGAATGTCGCGTCAAGATTAAAATCTCTTGTATAGTATGGAGATGCTTAACATATATGACTGCCAGAGAGGAGTGGGTTTATTGCTGTATACTATAGAGTAGGGTAGATTATAAGAAGTGGAGAAAGTAGACCTGATTTGAAGAAGTTAGTTACTATAAAAGAGATATACTGCAGTTTGCAGTGCTAATCTAAATTAATGTTGGATAAAAGACAAGTTACACCAGGGAAAGGTCACTAGTCCATCACATGTCCACATCAAGAACCAAACCCAACACTGTCAGTGCTGGACGTATGCCGTTTTTGAAGCCAAAATTTTTGGTGTCGAAAGTTTCCATGCTGTGGTTTGTGGTGCCAGTGTTTAGCTCTGTACTTCCAAAGATAAGGAGTTGGCTCTGCATCATTTGGTAGATAGTTAAACATAACCATTAAAAAAATGTTTTGTGCTCTAATATTCTTTTAAATATATAGAATTTAGGATCGGGCGGATGTAGTGAATTAGGCAAAAATACAATTGCCTGGACAAAATTGAGCAAGTACGTTATGTTAACAGGAGTAATTTCTTTTGGCTAAATGTGGCATATATATATATATTTATATATATATATATATATATATA